TCTTAAATCAAGCTCGACTATGACTTGTACTCAATACAAATTACCGGAAGACTGTAGTGTTTTGGACTTGAAGTTTGTCAAATACGCCTTTTAAATAATAAACTGCGCATATAAGACGCCCAATTGCGAAGGAAAACCAAATAGTCCACCGCAACCGTATCGCTTACGTGCAATTATAAAGTTGAATTGCTTCGTCGTGACACTTGCATGATTCACGTATTGTTGTCTTCTATGGAATGACGTTCGGAGGTGCAAAGTGGAATGCCCCCACGCCTGAACATTTCGATAATGTTTTATTGGCATTTATTGGGTCGCGAGTTCGAATCCCGCCAAGGGAAGATATTTGTATGATAAATATAAATGTCTTTCCAGGGTTATGGGTGTGTATATTAAATATATGTATGTGTATTATAAAAATATTATATTTATTTCCGTTATTTGGTACTTGTAACACAAGTTCTTTACGAACTTAGCACGGGACCAGTTAACGTGGCGTGATTAATAGTAAATAAAATAAAAAATAATAAATTGGCAGTGTTTTTTTTTATCGCCCTTGTAGGCAGACGAGCGTACGGCCGACCTGATGGTGAGTGGTTACCGTCGCCCATGGACTTCAGCAATGCTAGGGGCAGAGCCAAGCCGCTGCCTACCGCTTAATACTCAATGTCCAGAGATTACTGCCTAGAATTATATTTTACTAAGTACTTATATAATTTAGTTTCGTCTCGTAACAGTGCGTTTCATTTTGTTCTGACTGAGAATAGCACTCTATCTCGTGTCGTAACAGATTCTCTGTAGATTGAGCAGCAGCGTTCTCCAAATTAATACCGGCATTATTTTTTTTTATTACTGTTTATACATATTTAGTGGTCACCGGAGCCCATAAAATCTACAACGTAAATGCCGCCACCCACCTTGAGATATGAGTTCTAAGGTATCAGTATAGTTACAACGGCTGCCTAACCCTTCAAACCGAATACGTCTTACTGCTTCACGGCAGACATAGACAGGGCGGTAGTACCTATCCGTGTGTGGGCTCAGAGAACGTCCGACCACCAGTAAAATATGTAATGTGATGCTAGCTCGTACGTGTAAGTATCACCCTTTTGCCTATTACTGCCGAGTAGCAGCCTTCCGTTTGGAAGGATGGGATAGCCAATATAAAATCATGTATTCATTTTTATTATCTATTTTGTATCCAGTGAGCATTTAACTCGTAAATCGTGAGGGTTTTTTTTTTCGACCTAATTGTATAATAAATACAGCAACGAATATATAACAAGGAAACGGCAAATACATTTATTTTACAAGTATATACAACGAAAATTAATGTTTGTCTGTTTGTTTACCTTGTTTGTTCATGTTCTATAACACTCGTGCATAGTGCATAATAGTTCTTATTTGACTTTAGTATTTGTTTAGGAGTTGGTACTTTGCGATATAATTCTACTTAAAACTGCTGTGACGGTTTTTAATCTCGTGTTTATTATTAGTCGTTTAATTAATTCTAACGTGTCTAATATACTTAGTTTTCGTCCGAAACTACATGGTCACGAGTATAGTTGAAGGATGTATGTCGAAGACTCGCGGAAATCGAAGAAATTATTGTACTGTTTTCTTTTGTTAATACTGCCATTAACCTTCTATGGATGGCGCAGAAATAATCTTGAAAAATGAGTGTTTTTCTTATATAAATCTTTGTTCACTTTTAGGACAACGGCCAGTTTGATTTCTATAGATAAAAAAAAGCAGAAGAAACAAGAGTGACAGTGGAGAGTGACCAAAGCATAGTATAGAAACTGATTGTAAAATTATACGACTATTAGGCAATACTAGTGGTCCACCGGTAATCGAAATTCGAATATAATTAATTGAAATTTTAAATGTTGTACACTACTACGATTTTACTGTCAAAGACTACACTTTAGACAAATTATATTAATAAAGATAAACAATATTTAAGCCATTCACAATTTGACCACAGACTATAAGCAGTAAGAAGAGTTTGACAATAAACAAATAGTATGAATGCGTTTGTGTGTCAAATGCACGGTAGTGTGTGTAATGTATTTTTTATGCATTATTTAAAAAAAAATATTAACATTCTATACTGCTTCTCTCTATGTTGTCTCAGTGTAGGAAATTTTATACTCTTCCGTTCGCGCAATTTTCGTAAAAAGGAGTACCACCTCATTTTTGTTTCACGTATTATTACCTATATAGATTTTTTAAGTTTGGTGTGTAAGGAAGAGCGCATGCGTGAAGAGAACATATCGCTCTCGCACGCCGTAATGGTGGTGACGTCACGAAATGCTGTTCCATTTCCATTTTTATTGCCTAGATCTTTAAAAGCATCATAGCTTGATCAATATGCAATTTTAATGTTCATAGTAAAAAATATAAATATAATATCATTTTAATAGCAGAAATAAATCATTTTTTTTATAAACAACTATGAAAGGTTTTGGGACAATTAAACAATTTTGTGTTGGAGTATTGAATGTACGTTTACTTTTTTTGATTTTCTGTATTGGAAATTTGGGGCAGTGTTTTTTTTTAAGTTATGGATTCGTTCGAGATACTAATAGTTCGCCACCGGTCACCGTTCTCGTCGAACCCGTCGCTTGCGACGAAGGGCTCGACGAGTAAATTAACTCTCAGACACAGCCCACTGAGTTTCTCGCCGGATCTTCTCAGTGGGTCGCGATTCCAATCCGGCGGTAGATTCTGCGAAGCACGACTCTTGCTAGGGTTCGTGTTAGCATCGTCGTCAGGTTTGAGCCCCGTGAGCTCACCTACTAGTTACGGTTACGCTGGAATAGCCGCTCCAGGCTACCAGCTTAGGTAGAAAAAAAATAAAATCGTTTTTATAGTTAAAAAAACACAAATTAGAATTTTGTACTGTATTCAGTTATTAATTAAACTTAGAACGATGTTTGTGACGTTTGAGAAATAGTTCAGTGTATTCTAAGAGATTCTAGAACATTCGCAACTTCACCCTAACTACGAAAATAGGTACTTTTTTATAGGTACTATTAGGCCGATGGTATGCCATAGAAAACCAAGTGAGCTTTTATGTTTGATGCGGTATCTGCTCTAAGTCGCATTCATTACAGGGAATCCGATCCGTAAATGAAAAGTTTGAAGATTATTAATAACCCTATGACTGCCACGGAGGTCACCGGTGCCCTACGCGACGCACTGAAGTTATTATGTCAATTTATTTTACTAAGGCGCCTAGATTGTCCAAGTTTAGCCTCCTTTTGTTTGTGAATGTATGTTTTTTTGTCATTTAAGGTTCTTATAAATAGATTCAGTCGTAGTATCTTTGGATTCGTCTTCCCCAGAGCCTACTAGATATCCCGGCGCCTTAGTAAGAAGATCGAAGAGAGAAATAATCATATGACAGTCAAAGCGTTAAGAGATTTATTGTCGCTACGCATGAAATACAATGACAAAATCATTTTCAATAGTAATGTACAACACGAATTTGACTCATTGATGGGTGGGTACTAGTTTTCCGACAAACATCCGTGGGCGACATATTAGATAATAAAGAAGGATTTGTTTGCGTGTTTTTTTACAAGGCTGTCAAGTATTATTTCAATAAAACAGCAAACCTTTTAGCTCTCAATCTAAAATTCAAAGCACGGTCCGGTGATGTTTCTTAAATAGGAATTATAAATCGTCATCTGGAGATTAAATTCCTTGGATGCACTTAATTTCAATAAAGTGAATTAATATTGTTGTTATATTATAATAAGTCTTGATCTCTTGGAAATGGATACAATGCTTTATCGATTTTTAGATAACCTAGTATTATGCCGTAACGGTTTTCGTAAACATTTATAATGGTATTTATAATACCGTGAAGTGAAAAGTTATTTGGTTTAAGCGACATTTATCTTTTTAATTAAAGGTGCGTTTTATTTGATATTAACTTCAACAGTTGGATGTTTTTAATTGAACTACAATTAAGTTTACACCAATTAATATTCCAAAATTTTAAAATTTAAATGATTCTCCTGCAAAGTTGCAAAAATGTCGCTTGAACAAATAGCCTTTCACTCTTTTCGATATATTGGGGATTTTGCTTCATCGAATAGCACATAAGGCACTACACTAAAGCTGTGACTTTCATATGAATTTGAGTCGAACGCCGTCGACTTTAAAGAACAATTTTCAATGATATATCGTATTTTACAACAGATCGGTGCGTTGCGTGTTGATCGTACGCAGCACACGGGCCTTCATGTGAATTTGAGTCGAACGATGTCGACTTTAAAGTGCAATTTTCAATGTTGTATCGTATTTTCCAACAGATCGATGCGTTGCGTGTTGTTTATACGCAGCACACGGGCCTTTATGTGAATTTGAGTCGAAAGCTATCGACTTTAAAGTACAATTTTCAATGATGTATCGTATTTTCCAACAGATCGGTGCGTTGCGTGTTGATCGTACGCAGCACACGGGCCTTTATGTGAATTTGAGTCGAACGATGTCGACTTTAAAGTGCAATTTTCAATGTTGTATCGTATTTTCCAACAGATCGATGCGTTGCGTGTTGTTCATACGCAGCACACAGGCCTTTATGTGAATTTGAGTCAAACGCTGTCGACTTTAAAGTACAATTTTCAATGATGTATCGTATTTTCCAACAGATCGGTGCGTTGCGTGTTGATCGTACGCAGCACACGGGCCTTTATGTGAATTTGAGTCGAACGATGTCGACTTTAAAGTGCAATTTTCAATGTTGTATCGTATTTTCCAACAGATCGGTGCGTTGCGTGTTGTTAATACGCAGCACACAGGCCTTTATGTGAATTTGAGTCAAACGCTGTCGACTTTAAAGTACAATTTTCAATGATGTATCGTATTTTCCAACAGATCGGTGCGTTGCGTGTTGATCGTACGCAGCACACGGGCCTTTATGTGAATTTGAGTCGAACGATGTCGACTTTAAAGTGCAATTTTCAATGATGTATCGTATTTCCCAACAGATCGGTGCGTTGCGTGTTGTACGTGCGCGGCGCGCGGTTGTCGATCGTCTGTTCCACGTGAGCTGTGTGTGACGCGTGTATCAATCATGAACGAGCTGGACAGCCTACGCCAGGAGGCGGAAACCCTTAAAAACGCTATTAGAGTGAGTTCGAATCGAATTACTTTACCACTAGTTTATTTTTAATACGCTTTTATTAGCTCTTCAGACATAGGTAGGTATGTTTGTAACGGAATCTTTGAACATATGATTTTGACCCCCTTCAAAACGTCGGATTCACTCGAAATTTGGTATATTTATTAAGGACCGATCACAATTCAATATTAAAAAAAAATCGAAAAAATTGAAATTCAACTAAGAAATGAAAAATAAATAATAGTTTAAAGAAAACTAACAAAATATGCTTTCATAGAAAATCCAATTAAAAAATTGAAAATAAATTTTGATAAATTTGAATTAAAAATAGTATAAGAAAAAATGATTTTATTGTAAAAAAAGCATGAGGTGCTTTTCAGGATATTATTAAAATAACCCTTCTACTCATCTGTTCATAAAATATTATAGCTACTGATACCAGGCACCCTACGCTTTTTTTTACAATAAAATCATGTTTTCTTACACTATTTTTAATTCTTTTTTTTTTATTTGTTTTTATATGAACACAGGATGCGAGGAAAGCCGCATGCGACACGTCGCTGGCCCAGGCCACCTCGAACCTGGAGCCGATCGGTCGCATACAGATGCGCACCCGACGAACCTTGCGCGGTCATCTCGCGAAGATCTACGCCATGCACTGGGGCAGCGATTCCAGGTACGTGGAATATGAATAAATGAAAAAAAGTGCACTATTTCAGCTTCGCCCTAATGTGTGTAGGTGAGCTCACGGGTGGGTCTCAAACCGGAGTGTTGCTAACACTGACCCTAGCAAGAGCAGTGCTTCGCAGAATCTACCACCGGATCGGAAACGCGACCCACTGAGAAGATCCGTCGAGAAACTCAGTGGGCTGGGTCTATGGGTTAATTCGCTCGTCGAGCCCTTCGTCGCAAGCGACGGGTTCGACGAGGACGGTGACCGGTGCTTGTGGTGCCTAAAAGCTCCGTTAATGGATCAGGAGGATCCGTAATGACGTGCTTTGGGCGACGTCGACGGTTTACCATTCGGTCTACAGGATCGGGTATGTAGTTTCCAGCGGCCACAACAGAGGGTTCTCATGTCGCGCCGCCTTCTCAAAGTGGCGCACGACCACAATAAATCATGCAAAGCCTTCAAATAGATTATAATCGGAAACCAAGAAACTATTACACATTTAAAATTAAAATTTATTTTTACGCTAAACTAAATACCCAAGCATGACGTCATAAGTGGGTAATCATTTTTATATAATCAATAACAATGGTACCTACACTTATCGTTCGTAAAGTAAAAAAAAGTAAATTTGGTTCACCAATTTCAATGACTTATACAAAATATCAATAATTAAGAATATTAATTAGGTCGAATCCTACGTATTGTGTAGCCAAAGAGCTTCAAGTATTGTCCTCAACGACTGCCTATTTTTGTAAAACGGACAATGAACATTTCCATAAGGACCTTAATGACTCAGCTTCATTCGTATGCAATTTTATACCGTGTCCTTATAATAATAGCGACCGAATAAAAAAAACAGGGAAATTCGGCTCTGAAAGTTTTCTTCGCTTTGAGAAATGGTGTTCTTAAGACTCTCAGTCAATAAGAATCGTATCTAGATTAATCTGATTAGATGTTTTATAAGTTACATGACTCCTTGACATCTAACATGCCAAACCACATCGCTTAGCAGGTTTAATGGTCACTCGCTAATAGAGAAGCTGTTTTCTTTAGCTTTTATTATAAATTCTGTATTCTGCTTATTAAAATATTTAAAAAAAAAACAGTTGACCCGCTAATGATTTGTTAAAATTAGAAATAAATTTACTATTCAGATGATTTTTTTTTATATCATAAGCCCAAAAAATATTCATTTATCGTCTATAGATGGCGTTTAAAGAAGAACTGAATTTAACAAAAAAAAACACCTTTTTTTTCAAACGAAAAATTTAAAAAAGCAACTGCCTTTTTTGCTCTGTTCACCTAGCATCATAGTATATTTATGTACCTATATAATATATATATTTTTATTGACCTTGTAGGCAGACGAGCATACAGCCCACCTGATGGTGAGTGGTTACCGTCGCCCATGGACTTCAGCAATACCAGGAGCAGAGCCAAGCCGCTGCCTACCAAATTTTTACAATGAATACAATAATTTATTGTTGTTGGCGTTCATTGTGAAATTATTTACTCTTTTCTTATATACTGTAACCCGTGTACGTTTGCCTACGTTTGCCGCTAGGGGCGTTGTTCCAACTCTATACAAATTTGGGTTAAATTCTACGCTATCGAGAAAGTTAAAAAACTCGCACTAAGCTACTACACTACTGAATTTGGCTTGTAGTATATTCAACTCAATTCATATGATTGAGGGTTTGTTCTTTCTATCCTATCGGTATATTAAATGTTGATTTGTGCCCAGTGTGTGATGTTGCTATCGTATTTTTCATCAGGAACTTGGTGTCGGCCAGTCAGGATGGTAAGCTGATCGTGTGGGACAGCCACACGACCAACAAGGTGCACGCGATCCCGCTGCGCTCGTCCTGGGTGATGACCTGCGCCTACGCCCCCTCGGGCTCCTACGTCGCTTGCGGTGGACTGGACAACATCTGCTCGATTTATAGGTAACGTATAGAGTAGTCTACACAAAATATTTAAAATTTACGAAAAATAAAAAAAATACTTTATCTGCTATCGGTACTAAAAAACAATGACTATATATAATGATACTAGTTTTGACAGTTTTTTTTCTGTCTAAAAACCGCCAACGGAACAATTATCACAGAATTATAATCTGTTCAAATATAAATTGAATTTGGAACCGTTTTGATTCTATTTTTTAAACATTAGACAAGAGCGCAGTATTTTGCACAGTGACGTCAACGTTCAAGAGTTCAAACAATCTTTTATTTCGATGTTTATATTTTAAGAAAAACTGAACACCAGCCTCAACATTACTAGTAGTACACTTAGCATTCAAACCATAGACCAGCATTGTTTGATACGATCAATCAGAACACAGATTGTGAACCTAAAAATGACAACACCAACTCAGTCTTTTCCGATTGATTATATATGAGTTGTAGAGGTAGTTTAGAAGAGTAGTTTTAGATTTTAGAGGAAGAGGTAGACCTAAAAAAAAATAGATGGATTGTGTGGAAGACGGTATGTGTCCCGGTGTAGCCCCGGTTATTGACAAATTAAAGAGCGGACGGTTAGCGTGGTATGGACATGTGATGCGTAGAGAAATGTATGGAAATGGTAGTGCAAGGTAGAGACACAGACACACGACATGAATGAAGTGTGTGAATGACGATATGAGAGAGAGAGAGGAGTTAGGGTTGAGATGACGGCCGATAGAAGAGAATGGAAGATAAAAATTCGCTCTGCCGACCCCACCTTACCCCACCTAGTGGGATTAGGTGGAGAAAACGAAGAAGAAGAGATTTCACAAATGTTTCCACAAACTAGACTATTGTCACTGAATGCACTCATGAATTTCGTTGTGTTATAAAAATGACATTACAAGACACGATCACAGATCGGAAATTTAGAGGAAAAAAATATACTACCCAACCATACAACACATACTATAAAAGAAAACAATTTAAAGAAAAATCTACGAAAGACATTATCTAGAAAGTTCTATCGTATCACAAAGTTTCCATGAATTATTTATGCGAACGGCTATAACCACTATAAATAGACGACTACGTATTTATATTACATATATGTAGGATTGGTAAGAACGGAACGTATGAAAAGAGTGTGGAACGGAGCGTTAAGATGTGTGAGAGAGAAAACGGAAAGAAATAGAGAAGAGAATGACAGATAGAATGACAAAGTATTGGAAGATGGCGAAGACGGTTGAAGTAAGACGTAATAAAATTAGTGTTAATTATTAATCTATATATTAATACGTGAAGCAAAAACTTTGTAACCCTTTTTACGAAAATTGCGCGGACGGAGGAGTATGAAATTTTCCACACTTATAGAGAATATAGAGAAGAAGTGCACAATGCTAATTTTTTTTTTAAAATAATGCATAAAAGATACATTAAATCAATAAAGAAAACATTACACACACATACCATGTATTTGACGCACACACGCATGCATACTGTTTATTGTCAAACTTTTGTTCTTGACGTCTGTTGTCAAATTGAGAATAGATTAAATATTGTTTGTCTTTATTAATATTTTTTTATAGTGTAGCCTTGGTGAAATTTGTGATTATAGAAGTATAAAATACAATCATAATAGTGTACAAACTTACAATTCCAATTAATTATTGTCGAATTTCGACTACTGCGAGACCTCTAGTTACTATTATAATAGAAGATTTTGGAATAGTGTTACTTTTATTTTATGCGCTGCGATCCCTATTCTACATATATATATACACATTACATTTTTTCATTCCACGGAGAGCGTTTCGCGTCTCTTGGGGGGAGTAAATATTGTTTTTAGTGAATCGGCTTTTTCTATAGTTTGGGAGTTTAAGAATGGAATCGTGCGTGTGGGCGTTACGCATAAATATCGATCGAAGAGTGAAAGGCTATTTGCTTTAAGCGACATTTCTGGATCTTTACAAGAGAGCCATTCAAGGTTTAAAATTTGAAAAATATATCATAACAAAAAAAAAAAAGCTATTTGAACGGAGTTAATTTAATTGAGGTTCGATTAAAAATATCGAACTCTTGATGCTTCACTACATAGTATAAAACAAAGTCGCTTTCTCTGTCCCTATGTATGCTTAAATCTTTAAAACTACGCAACGGATTTTGATGCGGTTTTTTTAATAGATAGGGTGATTGAAGAGGAAGGTTTATATGTATAATAACATCCATTAAATAGTGGAGAAATCAATATTAAATTATAGTTTCCGAAGCGAAGCGAGGGCGGGTCGCTAGTAAAAAGTATTAGTATTTCTATATTTTCTGTAAGTGTGGGAAAATTCATTTTTTTTTCCTACCTATGCTGATAGCCTTGAGAGGCTGTTTCAGCTTCTCCTTAACGTGTAGGTGAGCTCACGGGGATCAAACCGGAAGAGGGAAATTTCATAATAGTCCTCCGTCCGCGCAATTTTCGTAAAAAAGGTACGGTAATATATCTATATCTTAATACGTGAAGCAAAAACTTATCTATATATTAATACGTGAAGGAAAAACTTTGTATCCCTTTTTACGAAAATTGCGCGGACGGAGGAGTATGAAATTTCCTACACTTATAGAGAATATAGAGAAGGAGTGCAGAATGTTTTTTTTTTTTAATTATGCCTATAAAATACATTAAATCAATAAAAAAAACATTACACACACTACCATGTATTTAACGCACATACGCATGCATACTATTTATTTATTGTCAAACTTTTGTTCTTGACGTCTGTTCAAATTGAGAATAGATTAAATATTGTTTGTCTTTATTAATATTTGTCTAAAGTGTAGTCTTGGCGAAATCCGTGATTATACTCGTAGATGTTATAATAAATAGTCTTTGACAATAGAATCATAATAATGTTCAAACTAATAATTTCAATTAATTATAGTCGAATTTTGACTACTGCGGGACCGCCTGCGCAATTTTCGTAAAAAGGGGTACAAAGTTTTTTCTTCACGTATTATTAATATATAGATTATCATCATTACTGTACCTTGGTCACCTTCATCTATGAATATCGTTATCAATGACATTTCGATTGTCTTCCTTCCAGCCTGAAGACGCGCGAGGGCAACGTGCGCGTGTCCCGCGAGCTGCCCGGCCACTCGGGCTACCTGTCCTGCTGCCGCTTCCTCGACGACAACCAGATCCTGACCAGCTCCGGCGACATGACCTGGTTAGCATTTAACTGTCTCGCAGAGACCCATTTTTATTGCTTAGATGGGTGGACGAGCTCACAGCCCACCTGGTGTCAAGTGGTTACTGGAGCCCATAGAGTATAGTTAGAACGGCTGCCCCACCCTTCAAACCGAAACGCATTACTGCTTCACAGCAAAAATAGGTGGGGTTGTGGTACCTACCCGCGCGAACTCACAAGAGGTCCTACCACCAGTAATTACGCAAATTATAATTTTGCGGATTTAATTTTTATAACACGATGTTATTGCTTGACCGTGGAAATCAATCGTGAACATTTGTTGAGTACGTATTTCATTAGAAAAATTGGTACCCCCCGCCCGCCTGGGATTCGAACACCGGTGCATCGCTCAACACGAATGTACCGGACGTCTTATCCTTTAGGCCACGACGACTAATGATTGCACTGGAGTATTTAGTGAGCCCTTGTTGTGTCCGGCAGCGCGCTGTGGGACATCGAGACCGGGCAGCAGTGCGGGCAGTTCACGGGCCACACCGGTGACGTCATGTCGCTGTCGCTGGCGCCGGACCAGCGCACGTTCGTGTCCGGCGCGTGCGACGCGTCCGCCAAGCTGTGGGACGTGCGGGACTGCACGTGCAAGCAGACCTTCCCGGGGCACGAGAGCGACATCAACGCGGTCACGGTAATGCATCTGCATCACTCATCTGCATCTGTCAAGTTTAAGTTATACTAGATGATGACTAGGTTTTTTTGATAACGCCATCTTGTTGTCTCTTTAAAGCGGCTAGTTGCCCTCTATTATGAAAAATAGTATTATTATTCGCCAATAGATGTCGGGAAGAGTTGATTATTGAAAACACGAATAAAACAATATTTTCTGAAAATAAATCGTAGCTAGATCGATTTATCGCCCCCGAAATCACCTGTGTACTAAATTTTATGAATATCGTTGGAGCCGTTTCCGAGATTCAGATTATATAAGTATATATTAATATACAAGAATAGCTCGTTTAAAGGTATAATTTAAGTTATATATCGACACTTGAAAGGCAAACAAACGTGACTAAGCGACAATAACTGCTTTATACATAAATGATAGGCAATAACCATATTCGATGCGCAAAAAATATATATTTCTAGGTCTATTAAAATCATTTCAATCCTACAGCTAGTTTCGTTAAAATATAATTTTTTTCAGGTATTTCAACTTTTTTTTTATTGCCCTTGTTGGCAGACGAGCATACGGCCCACCTGATGGTGAGTGGTTACCGTCGCCCATGGACTTCAGCAATGCCAGGGGCAGAGCCATGCCGCTGCCTACTGTTTAATACTCTTCACAAGCCTCGTTTGAAGAAGGCCATGTCATAGCGCTCGGGAAACACCGTGGAGGGGAGCCCATTCCATAGCCAGATGGTACGTGACAAAAAAGACCTCTGGAAACGCACTGTCGATGAACGCAGCGGTTCCAGATAATATGGATGAACTCTGCTCCGATGGCGGGAGGTGCGATGATAAAAAGGAGATGAAGGGATCATCTCAAACAATTCCTCAGAGCATTCCCCATGGAACATACACGGTACAAAATACAGAGGGAACCGAAGTCCCTCAGCAGACCCAGAGGCTCCAACTTTAAATTAGTCTATTGTAAAGTTCACACATAGTCGCTTAGTCACGTTTGCCTTTCAAGCGTCGATATATAGATAAGCTTGAGTGTACCTCGCACCAAACAAGTATTAAGGTCAGCTTAGTGGTAGACACAGGCAGGATAACAGTACCAACCAGCTCGAGGTGTACTTTTTTTCCTACCTATGCTGATAGCCTTGAGAGACAATTTCAGCGTAATCTTAACTAGTAGGTCAACTCACGGGGCTCAAACCTGACGACGTTACTGACACGAACCCTAGCGAGAGCCGTGCTTCGGAATCCGTCGTGCGGATCGGAAACGCGACCCACTGAGAAGATCCGGCGAGAAACTTAGTGGACTGTGTCTGTGGGTTGATTTACTCGTCGAGCCCTTCGTCGCAAGCGACGGGTTCGACGAGAACGATGATCGGAGAGGTTTACAGTGAGGCACTACCAACAGAAGAAAATTCACTGAAACAATCCTTTTCCAAAGCTGTCGTATTGCCATGTCTATGGACTCTCTGGTAACCACTTAACCAGTTAAAAAAAACTTAAATAATAAATTGTTTCCCAGTTCTTCCCGTCCGGGTTCGCGTTCGCGACGGGCTCCGATGACGCCACGTGCCGCATGTTCGACATCCGCGCCGACCAGGAGCTCGCCATGTACTCGCACGACAACATCATCTGCGGCATCACGTCCGTCGCCTTCTCCAAGTCGGGCCGCCTGCTGCTCGCCGGCTACGACGACTTCAACTGCAACGTGTGGGACTCCATGAAGAGCGAACGCGCCGGTAACTCACTGCAAACTCACTAGACTTGCACTGGTCGTCGTTGTGGCCTAAAGGATAAGTGCTTATTCACGTAGAACGCGCGGGCGCGAGGGCGGGTGCGCGCGCGGTAGACGTAGCGAGTTCGTGTTCACATTGGCCGCCAGGCGTTTGCGCGAGTTTGACTGCTTTTCAGAGATTGAAAACATGGACGACGATCTTTTATTTTTAACCGATGTTGAGACTTCCTTTTCCTTATTCCCTCTTCAATCCCCTATCCGCGCCATCTGTTGACACTACAAGAAAAACTACGCGCGTATGAAAATGGCGCGAAGGATTGTGTAAAAAAACTACAACATTTTGCCGGTGCAAAAACGATAAAATTGTGATTTGTTGAGCACATAGAACTCTCGCCAGTGAGAAAATTGAATAGTGCATCAACGAAACACAGAGTACGTAAAGTGGGAGATGATAACAATTAGAATCGGTGTGCATGAAATTAAAAAAGAAAGAGAACGGTATGGTGAATTTTCATACTATATTCATATTTTTTCTGTATTGAAAGACATGTCGCTTCTAGCAACAAGTTCAAACTGGTTGAATTTACCCGACGTCGTGAGTGAATCGCACGCTCCGACCCTAGTTCGATGTGAACACACCCATACAATTCGCGCCTTTGATATTGTCCGCAAGTCGCTAGCTTACCCGCTCGTACGTGAACACGTATATTACGCCATATGTTTGATATTTCGTGACCGCGCCCGCGAGTCAACGTGAACCAGCACTAAGACGTCCGGTGCATTCGTGTTGAGCGATGCACCGGTGTTCGAATCCCAGGGGGGTACCAAATTTTCTAATGAAATACGTACCCAACAAATGTTCACGATTGACTTTAACGGCGAAGGAATAACATCGTGTAAAAATCAAACCAGCAAAATTATAATTTGCATTGTTACTAGCAGTAGGATCTCTTATGCGTCCGCGCGGGTAGATACCAACACCTTGTCTATTTCTGCCGTAAAGCAGTAATGCGTTTCGGTTTGAAGGGTGGGGCAGCCGTTGTAACTGTACTAAGACCTTAGAACTTATATCCCAAGGTGAATGGCGGCGTTTTCAGTATAGATATCTATGGGCTCCGGTAAGCACTTAACACAAGATGGGCTTAAGGATCTAAGCAATAAATAAAAAGTTGGTGTTAATAATGAAATGATGGTATTGTTCCAGGCATCCTGGCCGGCCACGACAACCGCGTGTCGTGTCTCGGCGTCACCGAGAACGGCATGGCGGTGGCCACCGGCTCCTGGGACTCCTTCCTGCGCATCTGGAACTAAACATCTCACACAAACAAACACCTAAACACACACCCAAACATATGTCGCATGATTAGTCAAACATCGATCGATCTATATATGTATATCTATAAAAGTTAATGTCTGTATGTTCGTCTTGTACGCCGATTGAGTTAAAGCTTTGTATAGTTGTGGACGGCTGCGTGAATGTTTCGGACCTAGTACCTAGCACGATAGGTGGCGCGCGAGTGCCTCGTGGAGCGATGGTAACGACAAAGTGAGGCACGATTTGACTAGCATTCAATGTACCAATTTATTGTTCAGCCGATTTACACGTGAGCTCATTGATTGAAATTTAAATGTATCTGACAAACGAGATGGTACTAAAAAGCATTTATGGAGATAATAATGTGAAGGCAACGTATGAATTACAACTATTGTCTTTTTTTTTTGTTGTTGTCTCTGAACTTTATATTACGTATATAGAAGATTTTATTGAACAACGTTTGAGCATAACGAATGTTTCTCTAAACATGTGACATAGTGTAAAGTCATTAGTGTCCCTTTTTTTTATAATGAACTTTTATCGATTTTGGTTAGTCAGCGGTTGCGGCCCCTCGTCGATAGATGGCGCTTTAACGTCTTGTCGCTCGTGATCGACGTAAAATCTCGAATCGCGTTCAAAGGATAGCGAATAAACGCACCAAAACGTTCGATAAAGTTAATTATATAGATCACGTTTCGTGCGTCAGGTCGGGGCGCGGTGTGTCCGTCGGTCCGTATATTTAGTTCCCTACAATCGAATAGCGTCGCCAGCCTCCCGAACGCGGCGCGGTTATCGAGAAGCCCCTTTTAAAAAGTACGCGATAAAATTCGAATCCGATCTTGTAGAATTATTCTCGATCGGAACGGCACGAAATCATAATTATTATTATTATTTTATAACAACAATATAAAAAAAAAAAACAAAAAAAACGGGGCAGATCGTTTGAGATCGCTTAATTTATTTTATCTGTAATGTTATACGGTATGTAATGATTCCCTAACATACGAGGAAAAAGCATTTAAAGAAAACCTAGGGATGTAATGTGTGTATGTCTGTATGTGTGTACGTGTGCACGTGCGTTTATCACTTATATAAAACTTACTTATATGAAATTTGAATATATGTTATATTATTATTATTGTAATGTATTTACACTTACGTTTACCGCTGCGTAGCTAGGACGTGTGTCAACGCGGCCCGGTTATGTTTATGTTCATTGGTAAGTTTATTATTTTTTGTTTGTGTAATATATATCTCACGTCATTAGGGATCATCCCGATCCATTAACGGTGCTTTTAGGTACCTCAAGCACCGGTCACCGTCCTCGTCGAACCCGACAAAGGGCTCGCGAATTAACCCACAGACTAAAACTAGCCCTAGCAATAGCAGTGCTTCGCAGAATCTACCAACGGATCGTAAACGCGACCCACTGAGAAAATCCGGCGAGAAGCTCAGTAGACTGTGTCTGTGAGTTAATTTACTTACCAGCCCTTCATAGGGTTCGACAAGAACGGTGACTGGTAGTATTATAATTTTACTACTTAATTCTTATATTAGAGACGAAAACAGCTCTGGTACCTAATTAACATCAGATAGGCTGTAAGCTTGTCTGTAACTAATTAATATTGTATGTTCTCACTAAATACTCATGTTTCATTTTCAATCTTTCCAGGTGAAACCTTCGCACAACATATTCGTACAAATAATAACATAATTATAATAACAATTAATAAGAAATATAACGTCAAATCCTACAAAGAACCAAATATAATTATATTATTAAAAATAAATAAAAAAATGTCTGTAATTTATTGATTAATTAGAAATTTTTATTGTTATAATTTTATTTTTATTTACTTCGACTCTTGTGTACAGAAGGCACACAGTAAATGTCAGACGAACAGATCCTCGTTGTTGGCCGACTTCAGATGATTAGAAAGAGGTTCTTGTTTCGGGGCCTATATTCTATATGATTCTTTTTGTGCTTTTGAATCTTATGTGTAAATAATGTTTCATGTGTGTCTTTGAGGTCTAATATACTATATCGACAGGTGAAAAGCTATTGTGTGTTTTAAGCGGCATTTTTACAATTTTACAGGAGAGCCATTTGAAGTTTAAAATTAGGAGATAATATCATAACAAAAAAACTTCTTCAGCTATTTGAAAGGAGTAACTTAATTGAAGTTCAATTAAAAACATTCGACTATTGATGTTAATACCAAATAAAACGCACAAAATTTAATTACAAAGATAAATGTCGCTTTACCAAGTAACCTTTCACCCCTCGATATAAAAACTTCATTTTTTTTTTGTTAATGATAGAGATTAATGATTTTATTAATTGAAATTTAAAAAAATATGTATTGTTTTTTTTTTAAAGAGTGTCAGTTATTATCCAGCATCAATTAATTGTTTGGGATTTTCAAAACGATTGACGTTGTCAGCAAAATCTGTTGGCACATTGGCACTGTCGATGTGCGTGCCAACTTGCACGCTGACACGCCCAAAATATGTATTCTAAAGAGGTTGCCCTGAAAAAATCAATGTATTCTACTCTCTCAAATTCAAACAAGACTAAGATGAAAAAGCACGCCATATTATTGATATAGTCATTAAACTAATTAATAAGGTCTTTTTGAAAATGATTTAAGAGAATCGGCATTGAAAGAATCACACAAAGATAAACTTGAGTGTACAATAAAAAAAAATCTGAATTTTTATTGTTCTATAGTAGTTTCTGATTTTGTATTCGCTTATATGTGTATATTAAAATCGTCTATTAAAAACATTACTGTACCAGAGTTATTACTTTAATGAGTCTTAAGTACGCGGAATGATTTATGAGCGTGAATGGTGTAATGACGATGTTACCAATTATTTTACAGAAAAAAAAAACATTTAACAAAAAAAAAATACAATAAAATGTACCATCTTATTTATTTATCTTTTATTTTTGATTTGAAATGGAGACACGTGTTTGTTTGTTTGTTTTTTTTTTAATGATTTCTCTCTGTTATTGGTTATCCGTTTAGTCAGAATACCTCTTATTTAATCTATAATAATATAAGTGTCGCACGAATTTTTTGTACGTTTGTATACCCGCACGATCATTTTGTATATCGCATCACGAAGCAGTACTTACACGATTTATTACGGTTTCGATTTTAATATTTGTCGATCGGTTTTATACTAAGGATCATTCGATTTTGCGATACAACCAAAAAAACAAAATCGATTTCTATTCGATTAAATCCGTCGGAGAAAAGACTCGCCGTGATACAGATTAAAAGTTGAAGCACGAAGACGAGCGATTTTGCTCCTTACTGTTACGACATTAAGGTCACGTTTTTGATGTTTGTTAAATTAAATGAAGGTACTGTATTAAGATTACCGATCGACATTTGAAGCTTATTTCTGAGTCGGGGGCCGAATTGTCACGGGCCCATGCAAGCGTTTCTCAGTTTCGTAACGGAACTATATACTAGTAATGTAATCCCCCTTAAATAAACTTCTACATTTAAAAACTGGGACGAGACAACAACGTTACTCGATCGTCCCAAGTTCATTTTTAGACATAAGCTAGCTTAGTTAAGGTTTAAAATATACAATACATTTGAATAGGCATTTGTAACTCGAACATTCTGTGTTGCTGTCATTGAAAAAAAAAAAACTACTATTTTCTTTGTTGGTAACACTAGGTTCTAAGTGAAATAACCTTTCGTTGCAGTATTCGTTGGGATTGTAAGCACCTTTGTCGGCTTCTTTAATTGATTTAAGTCGATGGATGATTGTTGCGCTATTTGTGTTACATTATTATTATTATTTTTTCGTTAAGCCTTTTCGTCTTAGATAGGTTACAATATACGTAGATGTTTACATTAAGGCAGACAGACGTGGTTAGATATGGCAACACTGGAAGCTAAATAAAAACTTCACTTAATTACAAGAGTTACACGAAAACAGTATTGTGCTCAATTATTTTATACCGGCACCCATAGAAGAACGTTCCACGTTTCCTACTCTTGAATTTTTTATATTATATCAATAAACAGCTATGTAACTACATAATATGAATCCAAAATAATTGTTTTTTATAAAATATAGATTTATGTAACTTGAAATTGTAGCATTTGATGTACACGCATGCATGTAATACATATGTACGTAAGTATTTTCGCATTCTCTGGAACTATTGTTTGTTTATCCAACGCGGAGTCGTTGTGGCGGGAACGCACAAAATGGCGGTCGGTACGTGCACAAAATGGCGAAGATGGTTGGATGAATAAAGTATCTGAAGTAAGCTCTGGTCTGCTAGTTTTACGCCTAGGATATAAGACTTTTTTTTAAATAATAATAATAATAATAAAAATATATTAAATAAACATTGTTTTCTACTGTAACGGCTTCTTTTCAAATTGATGTAACGTAACTATAATATTAGCGTTATTAATGTAATAATATATCGTAATGAATACATAGTTTTTGTCTCCAGTTTAATATTGTTTTTGTTTTCAGACCAATTTTCAAACTTTTACTATGTACTATCGGAATGGACTGCCATATTTTAACAGTTATGTACTATTAAATGAACGGTCATAATGAACTAAACATTTGTATAATCACTTTATTTAAATAAAACATACAGTTTATTCGTTTTACTTAAAAAAATATGAGATATATCTGATTTCGTATGACGCTGTAAGATATTTATAATTTATAATTATCATTTGCTAGTCCACGTCTTGATATGTTTAACAAATAATTTTATTCTTAGCGGTGTAATACTAATTAATATAATGTATTGTGTAAAAAAACATTTTTTTTTTTTTAGTTATTATCAATAAATTAAAATTTGTTTATTTTAAGGTTGTCGTGTTTTATNAGATATATCTGATTTCGTATGACGCTGTAAGATATTTATAATTTATAATTATCATTTGCTAGTCCACGTCTTGATATGTTTAACAAATAATTTTATTCTTAGCGGTGTAATACTAATTAATATAATGTATTGTGTAAAAAAACATTTTTTTTTTTTTAGTTATTATCAATAAATTAAAATTTGTTTATTTTAAGGTTGTCGTGTTTTATTTTTCCCCTCCCCGTAATTCCGTTTCCCCGCGTAATTCAATCTACGGAGAATATTTATTTAGATCAACAGAGGCATACTTTGATGTTGTATTTACCTTGAGCTATATCTCTGCGTATTTACTGCTAGGCGTTCACATGCGTAATGTAAATCTTAAAATGGTTCATGACCTTGTTTCGTACGTTAAGATTGTGACGAATTGGTTTAAAGTCTAAGATTAATGGACTATTCGGGAAAAGTGTTTTATCGGTATCTGAAAATGGCGGCCTTGATGTGCTATTGGTAATATATGGCAACCAGGTTGCTATATTAGTGTCAGCTTCTCTGCTTCTAAACCACGTAACCTATATTGGTACACGTTTTTGATAATATAAAGATCAATAAAAGGAGGATTTTGTTGTAGTTTGTAAATAGTAGGTATTTCCCTATGAACTTGCCGTTTTATATTACTGCCCGTTTGAAACGGAATTAATGTACAATTTTATATTCTGGCAATAAATTCGAATAGATTTTATTAAAAAAACGATGGAATTCTATCCACAATTCCAATCATTTCTTGAATCATCAACAAATCATTTTTTGTATCTTTTTCATCGATATGGACACGTTAAAAATACGACATTATATAATTTGCGTAATTACTGGTGGTAGGACCTTTTCAGAGACCGCGCGGGTAGGTACCACCACCCTGCCTGTTTCTGCCGTGAAGTAGTAATGCGTTTCGGTTTGAAGAGTGGGGCAGCCGTTGTAGCTATACTGAGACCTTAGAACTCATGTCTTAGGGTGGGTGGCGGCATTTACGTTGTAGATGCTCATGGGCCCCGGTAATCACTTCACATCAGGTGGGCCGTGAGCTCGTCCGTCCGTCTAAGCAATAAAAAAGATTACAATTTTTTCCAAATTTTTGACAGCTTCTTGGCAGTAAAAAATACCCGACAGGTAGTACAAAACGCATTTGAATAATTCATTGGCTCGCGTGTGTGTACGTGAGTGACTTCTTCAAGAAGGACATTGAAGAATTATCACTGTGCTGGCAGAGATACTAATGGAGATATTTTTTGATTGATGGATTTAAAAAAAAACATTTATAAAAAATGATCAACTTTTGTGTTCTAAACGCGCAATTTCGTAGGTAAAGTTTTTTTTCTACTACCTATCCCCTGACAGCCTAGAGAGGTTATTCTACCTTCGCTTTGGTTAACCAGCTCACACGGCTTAACCTGAGAAGGCTTGCTGACATCTTTTACATCTTTTACTGGTGGTAGGACCTCTTGTGAGTCCGCGCGGGTGGGTACCACCACCTTGCCTATTTCTACCGTGAAGCAGTAATGCGTTTCGGTTTGAAGGGTGGGGCAGCCGTTTTAACTATACTTGAGACCTTAGAACTTTTATCTCAAGCTGGGTGGCGCATTTACGTTGTGGATGTCTATGGGCTCCAGTAACCGCTTAACACCAGGTGGGCTGTGAGCTCGTCCACCCATCTAAGCAATAAATAAAAAAATCTATCATAGCCAGAGAAGTTCTTCGCTGAATCCACCATCGGATCGGAGACGTGAACCGTTGAGAATAAAATTTTAATCATAGCTGAAATTATGAATATCGGTCCTTCTGACTGAATATGGTTAATTACTATTTACAATCTTAGAGTTTGTAGTGTCGATTTACCTACACTTAATGTATTTAAAACTTAACAGGTTAAGGACCGGAGCGGATCTGTGGGTGGATACTATTACTTTGCCAAAACAAAATTAGCGGTCCCTTGGAACCGCCGTAACTCACCTGCCTTGAATACCTCTGACCGCAAGTTTTCTATTGAATATGAAAGAAACGCGGACCCCCATGGCTCATCTAGGCTAGTAACTATAACATATTGAAGGGGGCCTATTCAACAATATAATTGTATAATCAAAAAACTAAAAGTAGGAATTATAGGAATAGCTTATTTGAGTAATTTTATATCCATATGCATTTAATTACTTTTGGCAAAAATCGCAAAAAAAATCTCGGTCCTTAACCTGTTAATTCAGCTTGTATATTTATGACTGATTCAGCAATACGAGAATTATTGTTTTCAATTTACTTAATTCGAGTTTGACCCGGTTTCGTAACTATTAGCTGGAAATTTGGCATCGGATCTTAAATTCTAAGCGCCGAAGTCTGCGGTTTACTACCAATCATCAAATTTAACGAAACAATGACTTTGTATTTTACACGAAATTCGTGAATTAATAATTATTTTCAAAGTTAAATCAATTGCTTTTAGATTAAATAAACGAGTGTATTGAATAAGTCAAACAATATTAAGGTTTACGTTTTTATAATGGATTTATCTGATGAATTTCGTTTTGTACAGGGACTCTGTCGTTTAGCAATGACGTTTGAGTTAACTGGATGGCTCGACTGTTCGTAGCGCAAATGAGGTCTTTTTTTTGTCAGGAGGAAATCACCGGACTTCCGCCCTCCACTGGGGATGGAGGGCGGGGTATGTCGGAGTTGAAGCGACTAAAAACTCCTGTCACTCAACAACCAGCATCCAAACCTCGCATGAGAAGGAACTCATGAAAAAGCAAAGGGGGGAAAGTGAAGCGTTTAGTGCGGAGCACATCTCTCCTATCACCCCCTCGGGACGCCGGACCGGCGGTCGTCGGTGCCACGACCACCAGCCCTCGGTCGGCAAAGGAGGTCTAATAGCTTAATGGTATCAGCTACACGAATGTATCGACCGACGCAGAATCGTGACCTACTGAAAAGATACGTTGTGAAACTCAACAGACTGAATCTATGGATTGGGGTTCGCTTAAAGCTCTCCGCGCGTTTGACTTCCAGAGCTTAGTTCCTGCTACGAGTAGCGTCCGAATTTATAAATCTTCTCCTCGAAAAATATAAACAGATATACGAATTCAAAACGAAGCTGTAAATAGTTTTAAATCATACATCTTCATAATTTTACAAACAATAATAATTACGTAGCTAATTCGAAAACAAAAGAGAAAGAGAAACAAAAGCAAAGAGAGTATAGAGAGATTCCGTCAAACACTATCTCCGTGACCGGCAACGAATAAGATTTATAACAAGCAAACACTTGTAGCCGAGCGCACTTCGATTAGTTACAAATTAATTGCAAAACATCCTGTTGCCTATTAAAGTCCATCCTTGAAACTGAGATGCATGAATAAAACGAGATGAAAATTGTAAATAAACGAACGTACATACGTACTGGGAGAGGCGGCGCGAGGCGAGACTAAATTAGACCGCTGGCACTGATCGACTTGGACTAGAGTGACCAGAGATTTTGTACACTTTCCGGACGCTTAAACGCGAACGCTGAGTTTCTCCCCGGAGTTCTAGTGGGTCGCGTTTCCGATGCGGTGGTAGATTCTGCGAAGCATCGCTAGGTGTTATCAAATTCTTTCAGGTTGAGCCCGTGAGCTGACTTACCTGTCCGGGCGTAGCTGAAACAGCCTCTCAGGCTACCGGCAAATAGGTAAGAAAAAAATCAATCGATATAACCACGAATTTGTGAAATAATTTAATTTCATGTTTTTCAAAGTCAAGTATATTATGTTACAGTTTTCGCGAATACGAACAACTATGTAAGGATCTACGTAATGAATTATTAATTTATATGAGTAATATAATTTATAATTTAAGATTTACTATACAGCAAAATAATAATTTACTATTACATTCCGTTAGAGTTAAACGAAAATCGAAAGAATTGACAGCAAGCGGGCGTTGTTGTTAGGTAAACTGATTCTATTTAAATTGAATATATCAACGCTTGAAAGGCAAACATGACTAAGCGACAATGCGTGAACTTTACAGTAGACTAATTTAAAGTTGAAATACCTGAAAAAAAATCTATTTTAAAGAATCTAGCTGTAGGATTGAAATTATTTTAATAGACCTAGTAATATATATTTTTTGCGCATTGAATACGGTTATTGCCTATCATTTATGTACAAAGCAGTTATTGTCGCTTAGTCACGTTTGCCTTTCAAGCGTCGATATGCTTAGAGCAATTGGTTACGCTGGTTTACAACTCTTAGTTTTTTGGTTTCGGAAGATAGCTACATTTAATTTGGTTCTGCAAATCCTGTCCCATCCCGCTCCCGCACTTTACCTACCGACGCGAGCGAGCGAGATCGTGTGGCGACATCGACTAGAGAAGAAAATGTAATGGCTGAACTACCGCGCGAGCGCTACGCGTCTCTGTTCAATTTTTACGAAAATAAGTGAAATTGTTGGTATTTCTCATCGCCTATCGGTACGAGCCTGCAGTAAGGACTACATAAGGTATTGTGCATCCTTCCTTTACCGCAGAACTGCCGCTTCTTATCGTTTCCATCCGCAGTCTGTGTCCTTCATTTGCAACGACCAAATTTCAAAATATGTATTTCGTAGTTTTTGCTTATTTCGCGTCTGCAGCAATTTAGGATTTTCTTAACGTAATATGATAACGACTGTAACATTACTTGAAGGATTAGAAGGCTTGTAATAAACGACAAAACGTAACTTTAGCATAATAAATATTGACAAACCTGCGAAGGAATAATATCGCGGAATAAAAATAACCAAACAAAAAAATATTGTATAACTTCTGAGTTGTGAAAGAATTAACAGTTTAAAATTAAATAATCAATATTCCGATGGTTCTGTTTTGTGGTAAATACCTTACTACCATACATAATTTAGTACAGTTTCGGGAAAACTTAACCCCATTGTCACCCTAAACAAGTCCGAGCTTTTCTACGTATTATGCAATGATGTTTCAGAGCTTATTTTGGTTAGTACGAAAACCGCTTGCGTCCGACGCGCATACATTCGAAGAAGTAATTAAATAAAATATATATACATACATATATATTGGTGCAGTGAAATAAAACTGTGTTCGGTGTTTATTTGTGTGGGCGGTATAGTTTCGTTAATTTAGTCTTACATTCAAAGGTGTTTTTATTTATGTATTTCTTAGTTTTAAAAAAAAACTACACTTAATAACTTCTTCTTTAAGCAATTTGCGTATAGATGAACAATCGTAATGAATGACGTAGTTCTTAAAACATTTCTAGACTATTAGGTCACGTTGCCGTGATGTTTCAAATGCTTTTGTCAATGTAAAATATTGTATTTTTAACAATTCGGATTGCACTGAAAATTGTGTAAAATATATCGCTACACTTACTCTGAACATTTCTTACTATGAGTAGATAGCGTCAATCGAAATTTAAAAACAATTAATGGCTTTGGAGAGTTAGATTATCAATATATATTTTATTATCCAATAAATTTGTTTGTTTTTGGTTGCGCGGATCGACACCACGCACCTGCCTATATGTCGCCACAAAACATTCCTACACTCCGATTTAAAAGAGCAGCTATATTAAAAAGACTTATAGTACAATATGACAAATCCAAATCCATCTCAAAGTCTAAGTTATACTTGAGTCGTCTATTAGGTAGCAAAGGTGGCAATCTGTGCATATGGACAAAACAATGTTATTGATATGTCAATACAGATTGATTTGAATATAATCGTCTCCTTCAAAGAATACGGTTCAAAACCTGCATTAAATAAAGGTTAATACTTAACCTGTTATTTATCTAAGATGTCGATCAGAAGAGTTTTGTGACTGCCAATGGAATACAAAGTCAATAATTCGTTTTTCTGATTTACCAATAATTGTCCAAAAGTCACATTGCCGGCTTTGATAATAGTCGACTCACTTATCGTATTGCGTGAATACTCCAAAGCTACAAGAATAAATCTTAGAACAATAAAAAGAACGTTAATAAACATTTCACGTATGAAACTTCTAAAACATATTACATTTTCTAACGTGATTATTTTGGTCGATGAAGAATTCTTCGCGTTTAAAAAACGTGATTTCGTAGATTTAGAACCGTAACCAAACGGAATAAGGTACATTTTGTTTGGTGTGTGTTTACAGAGAGATCCGCCCTTAAGCACGGTGTGAAACTTAAATGAATTCATACTTGAGCTCCTTAAACAATTCAAAATCGATTCCGAAAACCTATGGTTGTGGATTCTAAATAGACTGGTTCGCTTTTGCTAATGGATGCCTCAGTGCCTTATTTGGTACGGATGGGCATCTATGAGTACCTTCACCATTACGGCTCCTCCAAAGGTTCCTTAGCCTCTTCTATCTACCAACTGCCTTAAGGAGTATCGGTGACTCGGAGTACCCGGTAAAGGGCTATACAGTTAGCACATGATTAGTGATTTCGTCTGCCTAAAAGCCAGATATATAGCTATCTATAAAAATCTAATGAACACGTGTTTATCTTAATACCAATGATTGCACCGACAAAATAATATAATTTTATTAGCTAAACAAATAAACCTTTCCAAAATGAACGAACAGTAAACACGCACACAAGACAAATAAATAACAAAACAGTTTTCAGAGAACAAACAAAAAGACGGCATTAAAAAAGAAAACAAAAAAAGCAGTGTCTCATTCAAAATGATGACGGTCAGCGAGACTCAGTTCTCTTCGAACAAAATGTCCAGCATCCACAAGATTAACGACAGGGTTGTCCACCGCGACAGCTTCGATGACGTCCAGAGCTCTTCATCAGTCAACAGTACTCTGGTCACGAAGCGAGGGTTCAAGCCGTCAGACATGTTCGACCCACAGAAGAAGGAATTCCTCACCAATCTCAGTTATAAGTTGTTCCCTGTAAGTTGGGTAAGTCCATCCGCTCTGGTCAGTCCGAGGATGCTTCTAACATCACGCCAGCATTGGTCTGCCGATATTTGAGTATATATATTATTTTAATCGACCAATAAAACTGCGTGAGCAATGATCTTTCGATGTTTCGTTCTTTGATACCAGCGAAATTTATATAGTCTTCTCGCATTAAAACTGTATAGTTTCAAAACTTACAAATTTCGCAGGAGAGTGTTTAAAAGGGTTAAAATATCACATATATTTTTAATATTAATCATCTTTGCAATATTTATTTTTTATTTTTTACCAGTTACATTATCTGTCTTTTAAAGTAAGATAAAATTATGTATTTTGTAAATAGTAGTCAAAACATAGGTAAACTAAAAAAAAACTAAAACTCAATTATGGTCTTTTGACAGTATTTATGAGAAAAATACTGGTGATACCAAATGATTCCGCATATTAATTCCATTTCGAATATTTTAGGAAATTGTACACTTTTAATGCGAAAAGACGATATATGAAAACCGTTACTGTATTGTTCAAAGCTATTCGGTTATACACTTTTTCTTATTGAATTCGTTGAGTTGATTGAGTATAAGTTCTCAATGCTTAGACCCTTGATTGAGATGAACGTTTAACAAATTCCACCATCTGACTACAAAAACTGTAATATAATCAATTAAAACAATATGAAACGAAATGACATTACTGTTTGTATCTAGTTGAAATTACATCAATATTTTATTAGGTTAATAAACTTGATAAGATGTACAGGCATTAAAATTCAACTTAAATAGAAAAAAATGAGCGAGTGCTTTATATTATAATAACAATTTTGATAATCACCATAATGGATTTAAACATAATTTAGTTAATGTCGATTGGGTTTCAAGTCGTCATAGATAAATAAAAATGTCTGCCTCTGTACAAATATCTAATGTCCGATTCTAAAGAATACTATTCAGGCTATGAATTTTCATTTCCCTCATTTAGGATGAATTAAATTATAATTTAAGACATTTTAAATTTTAATGTTCAACTAATTTTGCTATTGTTATGAGACATGCGATTTGCTAGGCAACAAAAAACAAATTGAATAGCTTCTGATCATATCCAGGAAGAAACAGATTTATTATTATATTATAAATAAAAATTTCCATATATTATTAGCAAAACCTTGATCACATAATATTTTGATTTTTATAGATCTTATTAGAAAAATTATTCCACGAATTTTACCGCAATTGCTCACGCTGTTTTATTCGGCATAATATCAAATTATATATTTATTAAGTTACTAAAGAAAAAGAAAAAAAACAATAAATCGGAGAAAATTCACGCACGATCATCTAGACAATCTAGGAACTATGCGAAACAGAGATTGGTATATAATATTATAGTTAAATACGTTTAAATATTTAAACATATAGATTTTAAAAACATTGTGATATTGTGAAGTCTTTGTGAAAATAATTTGGATGTACAGGGAAGAATTCAATAATAATTCAATATTAATCAACAATAATAAAAACTTTCGAGTGACAAGCCTGAAGACCTTGTAGGTGCCTACTTGAGAAATAATTCAGTTGTCAAAATACAGTTTGAAATCCTTATAAATACATACCTTTAAAAACATGATTTTCACGAATAGCTAGATTTTGTGTTTTTTTTTTATTACTTAGATGGGTGGACGAGCTCACAGCCTATCTGGTGTTAAGTGGTTACTGGAACCCATAGACATCTACGACGTAAATGCGCCACCCACCTTGAGATATAAGTTCTAAGGTCTCAAGTATAGTTACAACGGCTGCCCTACCCTTCAAACCGAAACGCATGCTTCACGGCAGAAATAGGCAGGGTGGTGGTACCTACCCGTGCGGACTCACAACCTACCACCAGTAATTACGCAAATTATAATTTTGCGGGTTTGATTGCGACACGTTTCGTATAAATTACGAAGAATATTAAATTTAATTAAAAAAAAAAAAGAACGCCCTGTTAAAATTCGAGTGTTATTAAAGTATTTTCTTCCGAGAAATTAACATCGCTTGGACTAATCACACGGTTCATTAGTGTTTAACGCTTAGCCGAGACGAACCTAGCCAGCGTTGCCAAATCTTTCAGTAAATTTAGAAAATACATGTTAAATCCCGCTTCGGAAACGCATTGAGGTTAATCTTTTTCTCTTTTCAAAAGCATTGTGAAACATGTTTTTCTATTTCTGCCGGAAAGCAGTTACGCATGTGAATGGACGAAACATGTGAAACTTGGACCTCATGTCTCAAGGTGTCTCAAGCATTCACGCTCTATTGTCCATGGGCTTCAGTAACCGTTTATCAAAAAAAGAATTTATATATTTTTTTTATTTATAATTATGTCTTTTTTTACTGTCCTTGTGTGTGTCCTTGGTGAGTGCTTACCGTCGCCCATGGACTTCCGTAATGCCAGGGGCAGAGCCAAGCCGCTGCCTACCGCACTGATTGTCAAGAGATAAATTTTCAGAAATTTCATATTCGAGCTCCTAAGCGTAGGGCTAAAAGCAATTGGATTTATTGATAAGAATAAATCAGCTTCACCTAACATAATTGACGTTAAACTATATACCAGTTTGAAGGTAGCATTTACTTTATGCTACCCATGGACTGTATATTACTGTTTATCGGAATAAAAACAAACAGACTAAAGAGAATTACAAAAAAGAAAAAAAAACTACAAATAAGTCATAGATCTTTATGATAAAGATTTAATGGAGTAAACATGTTTATTAATTGATTTATTAATTGGTTATTAATTTACATAAACTTGCAGTAGTAAATTGTCTGTCGAAAATACTGTTCTGCCAAATTCTAAAGCGAACAATTCGAACCTATCAATGTGGACGTTCGCTAAAATACTCCAATTAAAAGAATTCGTCGTACATATCTCTAATAAAAGAAAGAAAATCGCTTTGTTTCGTAAAGGAATGTCAAATGCCTAGACAGAAAATTAATAATCACTCATGAATACGGTCACCGTTATTAAAATATTTGAGTTCAAAAACAATTCAAGTCAACTTCACCCCGACGGTTGATCGGCGTCGGTCAATGACCTTCAGCTGTCAAAAATAGCGAATACGCCAGACATATCACTTCGGCATAGATCCGAGAAGAGCAGACATTACAAGTGTGCCTATTCCTATTAATAAACAGTATCGAAGACCGAATGTATCCAAGATATACTTCATCATTGATCTAAATATTTTATTCAATATTTAAGGACTTTTGTATTAAGATTAAACTATGAACTAATCAAAGTTGCTAAAGTGTGAATCATCCTCTTATCATCATCTTATGCCTTACAGCCCAGGAGGGGCTTTAGCCTGGTCCAGTATGTCTCTCCAGACTGTTCTGTTCAGGGCTTTCTCCTTCCAGTTCTTGACACCAATAACTTTGAGGTCGTGTTCTTCCCCATCTAACTAGCAGAGTTTGGGCCTGCCATGACTTTCGCGTCCCTCTGGTTTGCCATATAGCAGTTGTTAAGGTGTGAACTAAATCCACAAAATACTATCAGGAGAACGCGTAAACATTTCCTTTTGTATCGAATTACATAAATAAAAGTCATCAAAAGAATTACTCTGAGCAATTATTAGGAATGTCGTCGTTATTACTATCGGACCCCACGCTACTGAAGCAGACACGATGGAGTCACTGTGTCCATCAAAACTGCGATAAACAGTTTTGGGTTAAAAAACCCGACTATGAGGGTTGGGACAGATTTATCACGAGATCTCAATTAAGCTGTAAACGGAACTTAGCAATATTTTTTTGGTTCAACAATAATACCTTCTCTGTTAAGACTTCACATCATCTTGACTGCATCCGTGGTAGTCATCCCGTCACGTGGATCGCAGACACCATGGAAACTTTAATATATCAACATATTTTGTTTTGTTTAATTAATTACCAACGATCTTACATGCTTAGCTGCAAATCTGTGGAAATAAACCAAGGGAACATCCTTCCAGAGAGTGGGTGATATTGCTCGGTAGACCGACGGTCCGAATGTTGTTGTTCTTAATTTGCAAGCTTATCTTGTTTTGTGATGACCACCCGATACAAAATCCATTACAGTTTAGCGTGTACATGTTTCTGTGAAAGTTGCTGATAGGCTAATCCACTAACAAGCTTCACGAATATTCTCTGATGGTATATTTGGTTAAAACACTGAATAATTTAATTTTTACGTTTTTGTGTGGTGCTCCATCAAAAATTCTCATTGGAGAGGCCTATATCAAAAGAACAATAGAAGCGATAAAATTCGGACAATTTAGAGTTTATTCTATTTTTCCGCGTAAAATACTCGATCGCACTTGGCAACGCTAGCTTCAGTGGGCAATCTTGGTGGATTGCCAAAAACACACGCTGTCAAATCTTCAAACTACATGCAGTGTGTAGGTAGTGTTGAGAACCGACATTTGTGATGAGGAGATTCGTGTGACGACCGCTAGTTCTTTGTTATATTAAACGCGATGCCCTTTGATATAACGGAATGAATTACGCCACTACTATGGAGGGCAGAGGTAAGGAGAACTGTCACATATGTGAGAAGCTTGAAAAATTGTCCCACTTTCAGCACTAAATAACGGTTCAAAAATCCTCCAGAATGACGCTAGCATAGGCACTGGGTATGATATTAATTGAGCAGTTGTTAACTGATTGAAATATGCTTGCTGAGTTAGGAAATTTAATATATTTAATGACTAGAGTAGTTAGTGACAGAGTAATCTACAAGACCTCACATGTTTACGTAGTCCAAACTAATTTCGTCAATATAACCTAAAATTATTGCTGTGGTAAAACGTGGAGACATCGATTGCATTTCCTTATCAGCTTTAAATAAATTACTTTTTGTGATTTTGTAGTGCTTACAGTTCTTTCGTCCTTCTTTATTTCTCTATCTTATTCTAATAACGGGCCTATTTGAAGTGTGGGGCAGCCGCTGTAACTATACTTGAGACCTTAGAGCTTATATCTCAAGGTGGGTGGTGCATTTACGTTGTAGATATCTATGGGCTCCACCACTTAACATCCGGTGGGCTGTGAGCTCGTCCACCCATCTATGCAATAAAAAAAAGGAAAAAAGAAACCCTCTTTTGTTTTTTACCAAATTCTAGTTTCACTTGAGGGACTTTGATAACGTCTGCCCTAGCAAGAGCAGTACCAGTACCACCGGTTAGGACTTGCTATCCGCTGTGTAGATCCCACGATTCAGTGGGTGGTATTCACCGCTAAAGCAGTCCCCTTTGAAGCAAAGCAACGTCACGAAAACGTAACGTGTCCCCCCCCGAAGCCCCCTCATTCCCGCGATCTGAGTCACGACAAACGTAATCAGAGCTATTATAATAAATTCGAAGATTTCCTCGTTTTAGAAAACACGTTCTGTTTATTCGTTCGTTGTTTTTTAAAGAATTAGATGACACGAATATTTGCTATTTCTTTGATGATTTGTTATACTTTTTTGATTGAACATAAAACATCCGGAAATAAACAATTGGCAATTAGATTAGCGGTAAGCAGCGGCTTGGCTCTGCCCTTGGCATTGCTGAAGTCCATGGGCGACGGTAACCACTCACCATCAGGTGGGCCGTATGCTCGTCTGCCTACAAAGGCAATAAAAAAAAAATTATAATAGTAGTGTTAATTAAATTAAAACCATATAATTAAATTAAAATCAGAAATCGACCTCTATTTTATTCTAATGTCTATTGACATCGGCAAGCACTTATCACTATGAACATATACTTTCAAGCTATGGAATAGAAACAATGATGTTAAATATTTGCGATTCATAATAAAATTCACTAGTTAATATCTAAAAAATATTTAAAAAAAAACGCGTTACGTAATTTGTGGCTAGCCGTTTTAATGTGTGAACTATGATTAGCTCGTCATTTAGATATATTAGCAGACATCACATCCAACAAAGTAGCAGTTTGGCTACAACCATAATAAATACCATGTTATTTATCAATGTAGATATCAATTTGAAATGGTTAATGGAATTTTAAATAAGTACACTGCGTACTTAGGCGTCAGTTATACCACGTCAGTTGGCAGGCAAATATTGTGGGTTTATTTTATGAAATTAATTCTGCTTACTTACGTCCACAATTATTTTCACCTATAAAGATTCCTTTTTCAGTTAATTCAATTGTAATTAACGAACCAAAATGCCGGCAATTTCTTTCTAATACAGAACAATTTTGATTTTTCAATTTTTTTTATTTTTTTTCAATTTTACTGGTGATAGGACCTGTTGTGAGTCCGTACGGGCAGGTACCACCACCCTGCCTATTTTAGCCGTGAAGCAGTAATGCGTTTCGGTTTGAAGGGCGGGGCTGCCGTTGTAGCTATACTGAGATCTTAGAACTTATATCTCAAGGTTGGTGGCGCATTTACGTTGTAGATGACTATGGACTCCAGTAACCACTTAACACCAGGTGGGCTGTGAGCTCGTCCACCCATATAAGCAATAAATAAATAAATAAATTACAAAATGTAGCTATTATATATAAATGTAGCTAAATGTAGAAAATCATATTTTTAAAGGTACCTATGTATTTATAAGGATTTCAAACTGTATTTTGACAACTGAATTATTTCTCAATTATGCACCTACAAGTTCTTCAGGCTTGTCAGTCGAAAGTTTTTATTATTGTTGATTAATATTGAATTATTATTGAATTCTTCCCTGTACATCCAAATTATTTTCACAAAGATTTCAAATATCTTCTTCTTTTTCTCCACCTTATCCCACTAAGTGGGGTCGGCACAGATAATTTTCTCTTCCATTCTCTTCTATCAGCCGTCATCTCAACACTCACTCCTCTCTCTCTCTCATATCGTCATTCACACACTCCATCCATGTCTTCTTCGGTCGACCTCTTCCCCCTCTACCTTGCACTACCATTTCCATACATCTCCTAAAGACTTCAAATATCTTAGCAATAAAAATAAAATAAGCGAAATCTTTAATAAAAAGCAATTATTCAATGATAATATAATAGTACACTCATTAATGTACAGAATGACGGAGAAATATCCAGGGACGCAAGCTTGGAACCGACAGATCTCCTTACTGTAAGACGATACTGTGTTTATCAATGAATTGTTATTGCCATACAAATATACTTCCCCATACATACATATGTACAAACGTTCGTGTCCAGTTCGATCCAATTATCTTTACCTTTATCAAAGTTAAATAACATCAGATCGTATGTGTTCACACCAAATAGATTATACAGCGCTGAAATCACGTGCCTAAATCTATATTAAATAATAATTTTTTTGGATGTACTAAAGCGTTTTTTTTATTGGTACTAAATTATTTTTCTGTGTGTGTTTATTAACTAATGCCTGCTATTATGTATATCTTATGTATATTTGATACGTTTGAAACACATGCTTTTACTTACCGTTGGGAATAAAATGTTTTTAATGTTTTGAGCAGCAGTTTTAAGGTCGGGAAATAAAAATGTCTTTGTGAGCTCAATTGTGTTTCAGTAAGAATGTCCGTGAATTAATGATGGATGAATGTGGTATATAGCCTATGTGAATGGCATAGACAATTTGTTTGCCGCCGGTAATGCGTTTTTAAGTCATCTTTGGACGAGGAAGCATCTATGAGGAGAGTTGATTTCATACCTTGATTAATTGGACAAAACAAGAGGAGACTATCAACTATATTTTCTTTCCTACCTAAGCTGATGATAGCCTTGAGAGGCTATGTCAGCGTAACCGGGCGTGTAGGTGAGCTCACGGGGCTTAAACCGGGAGTGTTGCTAACACTGACTCTAGCAAGAGCAGTGCTTCGCAGAATCTACCACCGGATCGGAAACGCGACCCACTAAGAAGATCCGGCGAGAAACTCAGTGGGCTGTGTCTATGGGTTAATTTACTCAGAGCCCTTCTCGGTAGGTCGCGTCAACTATCAATAAAAGTATCATAACATAGTTCAAGAGAAGCGCCTTTTTGCTCACTTCTGGCGACGAATTGCATGTTCCAATTCGACGATCGGTTTGATAATGGTTACAGATTCGCGACTTCGATTCAAAAATGACCAAAAATTAAGTTATCGGTCGCATTAATGGCTGTTAAATGAGACTTAAAACTCATGTCAGCCCGGGTGGCGGCATTTACGACATTCGTGTCTGTGGGCTCCGATAATCACTTAACACCAGTGTGCTTAGTGCGAGTTTCTTAACGTTCTCGATAGCGTAAAAGTTAACTCAAATTTTTATGGAGTTGGAACGTTTGCCTACGTTTGCCGCTAGGGGCGCTATTCCGACTGCATACAGAGTTAACTTTTACGCTATCGAGAACGTTAAGAAACTCGCACTAAGCACACTGTTTACAATTTGTATCACATCTACTCGTTTACACCAATACAAATGCATTTTGTTATTGATCACATAAAAATTAAAATCGTTTTAAATTATCATTATAATTTTTTTGTAAATATTGTCAAGTTATTTTGTGTTTTACACGTTGAATATTAACGATGAATTCATGCAGTTGAATTTTTAGTTGAACGCAAAATTATTTGGAGTTGCGCTACGTAGATAGATTAGTAAGTATTTAGTTATTATGGGTATTATTTTGAGCCCTTAATGAGTCCTGAATTGTACTGACCAAGTTCAAAGGTCCTAACGAATTCTTGTGTTCGATAAATTCCGAAAATAAACTTCTGCCGCTTTCATTTACATCTCGAATGTTTTTAAGACCGACGCCTTCAGCTCTAATACTAGGAGCAGGCTTAGGGACCCCGGTAACCGTACTCGTCGAACTCGACAAACAGTTCAACGTGCAACCTAACCCATGCATCAGCTCTCTGAGTTTCTCGCCGGATCTTCTCAGCGGGTCGCGATTCCGATCCGGTAGTAGATTCATTCGCGTAGCAGCTGCTCTTGAGTTGTTAGGTCTCCTTCGGAGGCGCTCGGGCAGTTGTTAGCAAATCCCACCTCTTCTGGCTGAGCCTTTGCTCGCCCACCTGTCCTGGTGAAACTGGAAAAGGCCACCAGTAATCCCACAATCATAAAAAAAGAAAGAAAAAAAAGTTTTTAAGACATTCTATAAAAGAGTTTCTTTAGTGGTAGTATTTGGTTGAATGCTTGGAGCATTGGTGACAGTAATTTAATCCAGATTCTCCAATTATAGATATTTCGTTCTCGTGTCCGAAGACAAGAAAGTATTTTGATATTTTGTCATAAGTTTTCAATGTCTAAGTTACCATTCGTTTCTGAATAGGTTTTTTTAAGGCGATCTCGATTGATTCGAAATAAGCCTCCCAAAAATATTAAAACCATTAGTGGATTATGCATTGATAATTGAATACTCGAATTTTAGGAAGACGTCGAGAACAAAGCCATTCTGGTGGGGGACAAGACGGTGGACCTGAACAAGATTTTCACACCAGCGCCTGATGCTGAAGAGCATATCATCAAGAAAGACCGTAAATTCGGTAAGTGTTTTTATATGATTGTAACCTCTTTATCATAAATCATATAGAGGTATAAATTATACAGGTGACACATAAATTGTTATTTAAATATTGTAACATTATATAGATTAATGTTACGCGCTGGGGTTCGGGATAAATAAATAATCCACCATACACTTAAAACACTCAACAAATACTTTAAAATTCTCAATTCACTTCACAACGGTTCACCTGAAGTGAAGTGTAATTACGCTTCGCTTCAGGTGATCCGTTCGCTGTTTCGCTTCAAGTAGGTAGTTCCGATTACTAACAAACTGCGTGCCATCTCTGCAACGCTTTTATAGTCGAGACGAAATCCCAAGAATCGTCGAGAATATTCCACACAAGTCGAGGATTGTTTGTTTCCGCTATCCGACAATAGATGGCGTTGTACTTCTCGAGCGTTCTAGATGCTACTAGATCCTTCGATGTTCGTTCGGCTATTCGGCGATAGATGGCGTTACTCTTACTGAGGTTACAATAATACGGACTGGTGAAGTAATAGCGTTAAACGTTGTTTCTCTTTACAGAGCAACTAAATTTGTGTTATAGTTTTACGGGGCTAAGCTATCCTTTATGGTCCATAAAATAATATATTATAAAACAACATTTAAGGCTATTGTTTCATCGGTTCTTATTATTCTATATAATGTTTCAATATTTAAATTACAATTTATGTGTCACCTTTATAATTTATTATAACCTCTATATGATTTATGTCACAAATCATAAAGAGGTTACATGATAATAATCTTTAGGCTTTGCTGGAGGTATAGAATATTGTGAGCCCGGACAAGTGGGTGCGAAATTCCCTTATTTCTTATACGAAGTCACCATGGGTTACACCTTGAAGAGTGCGTCAGCCATTAAAAATTGAGCTTACCGTCTCTGTTCACCACGTGGAATGCACAAGTTTCGAGGCAGTGTTTCTGTATTTGGCACTATTCACGGGTGGCATATTTCACGGTACTATCGAACGGAACTTACATTGAGTTCGGCCAGCGCCGGATTTACACTTAATACCGCTCTGGGCACCGGAAAAAAACCACCCCAATACCGGAATTTTACTTAAACTTATAGTTTATATATTAAAATGTGTTTTTCAAAATTAAAATAGGTAACTAATTTATTGCAGAAACTTTATTACATGTTATATATTCCAAAAACATAAATAACTATTTTGTTTTTTTTTTTTTAACAATTATAAATGTGGCACTAAGGGTGACTCATGATTGTATTACAAAAAAAAAAAAAATTAAACTTCTTTTATTCCAGAAAATAGAATTTTTATTATTATTATTTGAAACCTGAAAGGAAATAAATTGCCAAAATTCGAATTCACAAATAATGGATGAATTGAATTTTTTGAATTATCCATTAAACAGAAAATTATTAATTAATAGAATTAATTATTAATTATATTAAATAATAGGGGAAGACTAAAAAAAATTTTTCACTTACAAAGTTTTGCCCTTCTGGGCACTAGCCCCGACTGTTCTTAGTGTAAATCCACCACTCAGTCCGGCATTAGTAATAATTACATGAAGGAGAGAGAACGGGCATAACAAAACCTTAGTTTTGGAAATAACACATCAGGCATGCAACTTCACGGAATTAAGTTAAGAATTCGTATAAAGAATCTTTACACCCTTTCACCGAGATTAAACTCTTATTTTTCTCCACCTTATCTCACTAGGTGGGGTCGGCACAGCTAATTTTTCTCTTCCATTCTCTTCTATCAGCCGTCATCTCAACACTCACTCCTCTCTCTCTCATATCGTCATTCACAAACTCCATCCATGTCTTCTTCAGTCGACCTCTTTCCCCTCTACCTTGCACTACCATTTCCCTACATCTCCTAGTCACATGCATCTTCTCTCTACGCATCACATGTCCGTACTACGCTTTAAAGGTTAAACGAAGTAGATTTAATATCGCAATCTGTAATAAGCCCTAGCTTCTCTCCACCAACAGAGAAGACGTTCGCATCGTCCGCGTTCTATGTGCCCGGCGTCCATCCTACAGTCAAGGAGCAGATGGATCTGGCGCGAGCCATTTCCAAGTCCTTGAGTGACTCCAGCAACCACATGAGCAAGGGCCAGAGCATGTACGTGAACAGGAAGAAGAGATCAGTCAAATGGGTGCACGAGGGAAGAGGTTTGTACAATTCTGGAAGATTCTTTTTTTTTCACTCCCTTATTTAACTCCTATAGACTAGACGAAGTTTTAGAATTGTAACGTGAAGATTGGTCCGTTAATAGGCAGATTTGTTACGCAGATTCTTTAAAAGTCGTCTTAGTCTAAAGGATAAGACGTCCGGTGCATTAGTATCTTGCGATGCAACGGTGTTTGAATCCCGAAGGCGGATACCAATTTTTCTAATGAAATACGTACTTATCAAATGTTCACGATTGACTTCCAAGGTGAAGGAATAACATCGTATAATAAAAACCAGCAAATTATAATTTGCGTAATTACTGGTGGTATGGGGTACCCACCCGTATGGACTCACAATACGACCCTGCCTATTTCTGCTGTGAAGTAGTAATGCGTTTCGGTTTGAAAGGGAGGGCAGTCGTTGCACTGTATCAAATCAAATAAAATCAAATCATTTTAAATAAACAAAATATATTCAACATAAATGAAAGTACATACTTGTTGAACGTCACAAAAAACGACCGCCAATTCACAAAAACTAGGCTCCGTCTTGAGAAGAACTGGCAAGAAACTCAGCGGGCATGTCTCTTTTTTAAATATTAGATTATTTTTTAAGATTCATTTTTACAATGAGTATTATAACATAACAATTATTACAATATTGAAATGCCCGGAGCGAGCAACTCATTCCCACTTTGTGCAATCTTCTAGATAATCATTGACTTTATAGTAAGCTTTATTGCACAGATGTTCTTTAATAGTTTTCTTATGTAGGTTCTGAACATCTTGTGGGATTTTGTTGTACAGGCGCACAATAAACACCTGAATGAATTTCGTACCTTATGTAACCTACTCATCGGCACAACAAGCTTGTGTTTGTTTCTAGTATTTCTATTATGTATGTCCGACTTTTTAGGAAACTCCTCAATATGTTTACGAACATACATCAAATTTTCAAAAATGTACTGGGGTGGCATAGTGAGAACTTAAATTTCTTAAAAAATTTCCCTCAGAGATTCCCTTGAGTGCATATTATAAATAGCACGTATAGCTCTTTTCTGCAGAATAAATATCATTTCTACATCGGCCGCATTTCCCCATAGCAAAATTCCATAAGACATGACACTGTGGAATTAACTAAAATAAACTAAACGAGCCGTGTCCGCGTTTGTTAACATTCTAATTTTTATTACTGCGTATGCTGCAGAGCTGAGCTTACTCCCCAATTTATGAATATGAGGTCCCCACAGCAGTTTGAGAGTCCACTGTTATACCAAGAACTACAGTTGACTCAACAAGCTCCAATGATTCCTCAAAAACAATTACATTACTATCTACTTGTCTCACATTTAAAGATGATTTAATACATTTTAAAGTAAATTTAATATATTTAGTTTTCTTAGTATTCAATAATAAATTATTGATACGGAACCAACACACGGAATCGCATCATTCACTTCGTCATAAACTTGCAATTGTCGTTTAATTTTAAATAATAAAGATGTATCATCTGCGAATAATACGACCTCGTGTCGGGACTCAATAAAACTAGGTAAATCGTTTATATATATTAGAAATAAAAAAGGATCCAAAATGGAACCTTGAGGTACACCCATTTTCAACACGGTGCCTGAAGATCTATTACCTTTTACATCTACTGTTTGTATCCTTCCTGATAAATAAGAATAATAAGTAATAAGTTCCAATGCACCATCTACCTAATACCATACCTATTACCATACCACCCTAATACCATAGTGATGTAGTTTCCTCACCAATGTTTCATGTTCAACACAGTCAAATGCTTTGGATAAGTCACAGAAAATTCCAAAACAATCATGCGACTCCTCCTAAGATTTAAAGATATTTTTGATTAGATAAGCACCTGCATCAGTTGTAGAGCGACCTTAATAAACTGAGACCTTAGAAGTTATATCTCAAGATATATGGGCTCCGGTAACCATTTAACATCAGGGCCGTGAGCTTGTCCAGCCACCTAAGTAATAAAAAAAAGGTGACTGAGCAAGTTCAAGACTTAACTAGCGGTAAGGGGTAACCGGAGCGCATAGAGATCACAACGTGAATACCGCCACCTACCCTAAAACATGAGGACGAAGCTTCAATTGTTTTGTAAAAGTTGCTCTTGAGTTGTTAGGTCTCCTTCGGAGGCGCTCGGGAAGCTGTTAGCAAATTCCACCCCTCCTGGCTGAGCCTTTGCTCGCCCACCTGTCTTGGTGAAACTGAAAAGGCCTTCAATTTTAAAAAAAAGTGTTGTAAAAAAGCGGCTGCCACACCCTTCAAACAAATGTCAGAGCTTCGCGGAAGAAGCACGCAGTACTATGGTACATGCCCTATTTTTCCAATACGGCTTACCTCCAGTAAAGGCCAGTTGGCGATCACAGGACCCCCAGAATACTCAGAGGACGCGGCTTTCCATCCTCCGCTGAATCCCATAGTCGTCCTTAGAGATCCTCATATAGTGCATTTGCAAATATTCATACGAACGAACTGACGGACTCTGTGCAAGATATGATTCTATAAATAATTATAAAATTTATCGCAGACGCGCGTACAGCGTACAACGCACAGCTGGCAAAAAACCAAGCTGTCAATTCGGCATTGTTAATTACACTGTCATTAGAGTTGCTTTTTTTTTGTTTTTTAATTTTAAAACGGGGTCAGTACTCATACGACTCGGCTGCCTAGATTGGCAAAGGCATCACATGAGTCGTCTATTATCAAAGGTGGCAATCTGTGCATTTAGACAAAAAAAATTTATTGATATGTCAATACAGATTGATTTGAATATAATCGTCTCCTTCAAAGAATACGGTTCAAAACCTGCATTAAATAAAGGTTAATACTTAACCTGTTATTTGTCTAAGATGTCGTTCAGAAGAGTTTTGTGACTGCCAATGGAATACAAAGTCAATAATTCGTTTTTCTGATTTACCAATAATTGTCCAAAAGTCAGATTGCCGGCTCACGTATGGAACACAAATAATGTTTCGAATTGACAGTTGCGTGAATTTATGAATGATTTCTGAGATATGTAAAATTGAATTATACGAACAATAAATAAAGTATATAATAAATAAATATATCTTTACATATACCTATATATAACTTAACTGTACGTGTGTATGTCACTGAACTCCTGAACGGCTGGACCGATTTAAATGATTTTTTTGTATGCGTTTGGGTGGCACCCTGGATGTTTAGATTCACAAATCAGCCCGGAAGATGGCGCTGCAGTCGGTATCTAGATTATTTTGTAGGAGGAGTTCCACTTCGATAAAGCGGCACGACACGTGAATCCTCTCATCGTGGCCGCCGGAAACTACATAACCGATCCTGTGGACCGAATGGTAAACAGTCGACGTCGCCCAAAACACGTTATTACGGATCCTTCCGATCCATCCACGGTGCTTTTAGGTACCACAAGCACCGGTCACCGTCCTCGTCGAACCCGTCGCATGCGACGAAGGGCTCGGCGAGTAAATTAACCCATAGACCCAGCCCACTGAGTTTCTCGCCGGATCTTCTCAGTGGGTCGCGTTTCCGATCTGGTGGTAGGTTCTGCGAAGCACTGCTCTTGCTAGGGCCAGTGTTAGCAACACTCCGGTTTGAGCCCTGTGAGCTCACCTACATGTTAGGGCGAAGCTGAAATAGCCTCTCAAGGCTATCAGCATAGGTAGGAAAAAAAACACGCAGTCAGTTAGTAATCGGAATTACACGAAGCGAAACACCGAACAGATCACCTGAAGCGAAGAAGAAGCAATGAATTGAGAATTTTAAGGTGTTCGTTATGTGGTTTAAGTGTTCTAAGTGTTGAATACAGTTTTAATTTATATTTTGATAGAATTTTTATTTATCCCAAACTCCAGCGCGTAACAGTACTTTCTTCGGATTTCACGACCCTTAGACATAATTAAAACTACTCATGCGCATGGACTCACCTTTTTTATTACTTGTAACGTTTCAAATACCTTACAATCGTCACTCGTCCGTGACAAGGAAGACTGCGGTTGAATTCAAATATCCGTATATTTACTTTGACACAAAACAACAGCTGTTAATTTCGTTAGCGGCCATTTTGAAAAGAACAGCCTAAATCCAACTTACGCCTTAAACGCTCCCTTGTGGCCGTTTGAACTTTGCTAATAGTTTAGACTCCGAAAGAGAGTTTAATTATGATTGAAATTACGATCATCAGTGACCGTTTAAACCTTAGATTAAGCTACGATTGATATTACAGGCCTAAAACTATCGTCTGACTATCTATCAACAGAATAAAAGATTTCGACACAAAAAATTGAGTTAAGCAAGTCATTTATGCTCATTAAGCCTGGTAATAAAATGATTGCAGGCCGGAACACTTCGAACACGTGCTCGACCCCCACCCCGGTGGCCAGCCACGACACGCCGTACCGACCGCCGTCCAGCCTGCGCAACCAGAAGACGTACCCAAAATCGGCACTAAAGCACTCGAGCCTGCCCAAAATCGACCCTCCAGTTTTTCCGCCTACAATAACGGTCCAGAATGTTGATCTGCCGGTACCAATGGCTCCGACGAAGCTGAATGATGTGTACGCTTCGCCGAAGAGCCCGCGGCTGCCCCTAGTGTCCGGGCCGAATTTCAATGTGGCGCCACGAGGCTGGGGCGACATGAAAGATTACTACCGACCGGTTTCGCTAGATGGCGTTGGCAAGGTGGCCGTCGGATTCTCTGATTTTTAAATGTGATCAGCGGTTTTAGCGAACCGATTAATTTCAAGGGCGGTCTGTATTTTCGTGAAGCGATTTGATAGTTGATAAGAAACGGGTAATTTATTTTTCCCTAATACAATGATTATTAAATATACACTTTTGTTTATTCAACTCGATATTGCTAAAGTACCACCGTCCGCCTAAAGTTATTTTTGTGACTATTCCATTAACTGTGTGGCGGGTAGCCATCATACAACGCAAGATAATTGACAGATGCCTGAATTTCGCTTACGACATTTTCAAGATAAAGCGCATATGAGTCGACTATTATCAAAGGCGGCAATCTGACTTTTGGACAATGATTGGTAAATCAGAAAAACGAATTATTGACTTTCTATTCCATCGGCAGTCACAAAACTCTTCGGAACGACATCTTAGATAAATAACAGGTTAACTATTAACCTTTATTTAATGCAGGTTTTGAACCGTATTCTTTGAAGGAGACGATTATATTCAAATCAATCTGTATTGACATATCAATAAAAATTTTTTGTCCAAATGCACAGATTGCCGGCTTTGATAATAGTCGACTCATATACAAGTTCCGAACAACAACATTCGGACCGCCGGTCTACCGAACAATATCACCCGCTCGGTGGAAGATCTTCCCTTTGTCGTATATCTCTCCCAAACATTTAAATTAAAGTAACTATATTTGACACCTTAGAACTTATACCTCAAGGGTGGCGCATTTACGTCGTAAATGTCTATGGGCTCCAGTAACCACTTAACACCAGGTGGGCTGTGAGCTCGTTCACCCAACTAAGCAATAAAAAATTAATAAAAAAGTTGGTAATATTTTCTTTTAGTGCTTTTCTCAACCAGACGAAGAAGGTATTTTTTAGCTTTTATACAGATGTATACAAAATGCTTCAATAGTATTTTGCACTATGATAAAATATTAATGTAATAAAATGTCATAATAATTCGGTGGCGATTGTTAAACTTTACTACAATAAGCGAGAACACATTCTAGAAACATAAACACACAGCCTTTGAAACTAGTCGAATCTAAAATTAAATACTAATTTGAAATTTTACTTAATAAGTTCGATTTAAATAAATATTGTAATTTAGCATTTTATTACAGGTGAGATATTTGAAATAAACTTGATTAGGTTTTGTTTTAAAGTTCGATTTTTTGCTGCGTAATGATCGTCATATTTTTTTTAAGTTTGATTTTTATTTTGTAAAAGTAACATGGGAATATTTATAAGTAATTAACGATTAATTAAAAAAAAAGATTTGAATGTATGTATTAAATCATTTTTTTTTCTTTTCCCGCGTTCTCATTTCAAAACAATATTACTTAGCTTCTTTGATTTTGGCCATAAACATTTTGCGGGATACCATACTTTTTTCTAAAAAGCCTCGGATTAAATGTTGCTCATGGTTGATCAAAGTAAATAGATATTGTGTTATTTTAAGCATTTTTCTAATTAATTTTGTCATTCTCGTACAAGTATTCTATAACAAGTAATTGAAATAATGACGATAAAGTAGTTACAAATTAGATTTATTAGGTTATTATCTAATAAAAAATCAAAGGAACTTCGGTACAGCTGTAAGATAAATTAATTATATTTTGTTTTACTAGTCAACTTTCACATTTTCTTCGTAAATAATATAAATGTGCCTTATAAATGTTAAATTATCTACGTTATTGTTATTTTAATATAATATTTAGTTATTTAAAAATATTTAAAATAAACTAAAAATAATGTAAGTTTTAAAATATTTTACTTTTAAATTAAACTATACGTGTTTTGTTGAATTTCTAGTTTTAAACATAAGCTATTTTGTATTATGTTCGATATTACTGTGAATTTTATGGAGATATTTTTAATAAATCCTTGAAATACTTTTGTTATTTTTTTTCCCCATATTTTTTAAATAGTATCTAGTAGTCCGGTACAAGCGGGCTCCATCACTTAGCCCTTATCTGGCCTTTGAAAAAGCGACGCGTCACGTTAAGCGGGTTCTCTTAAGTGTCACTCGAAACGCAACTTGCCGGATCAATAAGCTCTATCCAGGTAGAGCGGATTGTCACAGTAGACGTAAGTAGTACTTAAAAAAACCTATTCTTTTAATTAATTAATTCCCTACCTATTCTAGTGACCTCGCGGGGTCATAATAGATTCAGCAAGCGAGTAGGTGAGCTCACGGGGCTCTAGCCTGAGGACGTTGTTAACACTGGCCCTAGCAAGAGCCGTGCTTCGCAGAATCAACCACCGGATCGGAATCGCGACCCACTGAGAAGATCCGGCGAGAAACTCAGTGGGCCGTGTCTATGGGTTAGTTTATGGTTAGTTTACTCGCCGAACCCTTGTGTTGGTGACCGGTGCTTGAGGTACCTACCTAAAAGCACCGTTAGTGGATCGGGAGACAACTATTCATTTTTCATACAAAAAGGGGTAAAAGAGGTGAAAGGCTATTTATAGTTTAAGCAACATTTTTGCAACTACTATTCAAATTGCTCTGACGTCATGCAAGGAGAAAGATAAGTGTGTCACAATCCAACGCTTGGTCAGATCGTGCCTCTCTGTTGCTTGTTCCGCGCTCTCGCTTGCACGCTCAAGCTCAGGCGGAACGTGACACTTTTTCGTGCGTGCAGCCCGTGTTCATCGATTTATAAGATGTTACCACGTCACATTTTTTTTCTTTAGTAACCTATTGACGTGTTATAGAGTAATCAGTAAAAAGGACTTGATAAAAAAAATATAACAGTGAAAATGTAATTGATATCAAACAATCGGTTATTTGAAATCACCGCGGCTTAAAGGATAAGTTGTCCGGTGCATTCGTATCTTGCGATGCAACGGTGTTCGAATCCCGCTGGCGGGTACCAATTTTTCTAATGAAATACGTACTTAACAAATGTTCACAGTTGACTTCCACGGTGAAGGAATAACATCGTGTAATTAAAATGAAATCCGCAAAATTATAATTTGTGTAATTACTGGTGGTAGGACCTCTTGTGAGTCCGCACGGGTAGATACCACCACCCTATTTCAGCCGTGAAGTGGTAATGCGTTTCAGTTAGAAGGGCGGGGCAGCCGTTGTAACTATACCGAGACTTTTACGGTGGCATTTACGGTGTAGATGTCTATGAGCTCCAGTAACCACTGAACACCAGGTGGGCTGTGAGCTCGTTCAACCAATGAAGCAATAAATAAATAAAGATTGATTTGCATTAATGTATTTCATATAGCGTTTTTTATTTACATGTGCATCAACAATGCGATGCGAATTAGTCAGATACATATATAAACTATATATGTATAATGAAACCGGAACACATTAATTCGTCTTATAGTATGCATCTCTAAGTTGTTGACTTATTGTTAGTTAGCAAATTTTATTTCTTAATGTCTATGCAACTAAACGGACTCACATGATCTGCGCGAGTAATAGAAAGTAATATACAGGGCCGTATTCAGATTTTTTCTTCGACGTCCGAATATATCGTTAGGTGTTCTTAGAGATTAGAACATAGAAGTCCTGTATACGGGACAAGGCTTCGAAATGCCGGATACGTCCACTTCATTACGCCCTACCTACGAGTTTCTCGGCGGATCTTCTCAGTGGGTTGCATTTCCGATCCGGTGGTAGATTCTGCGAAGCACTGCTCTTGCTAGGGCCAGTTTTAGAAACACTCCCGGTTTGAGCCCCGTGAGCTCACCTACACGTCAGGGAGAAGCTGAAATAGCCTCTCAAAGCTATCAGCATAGGTAGGAAAAAAAAAGGTAGCTCCAATGACCGAGTCCAAGAATTTTGGTCGTTTGTCGTTTCCGTGCTGTATGCTATACTTTGAGTGCTAGAGGAGAGTTTGAGATAATTCCGTCATTCGCTTCTCATCATCACATCACTGGTTATAAGTCGCCCACTGAGCTTCTATCCGAATCTTGTAAGTGGGTCGCCTTTCTGATCCGGTGGTAGATTCTGCGAAGCACGGCTCTTGCTAGGGTTCGTGTTAGCAACGTCATCAGGTTTGAGCCCCGTGAGCTCACCTACTAGTTAACGTTACGCTGAAATAGCCTCTCAAGGCTAAGTAGGAAATAAAAGACGCCGATCATTGATGTATTAAAAAACCCACGCCGGTTGATGAAACATAATTTAATATCATTTGTTTCTGAAATTCAAGTTGCCGTTTCAAATTACAAGGGAAATTTGTTGAGTCACCCATTCGAACGTGGCTTTATTCATTTTATTTTAAGATTTTTTTCTATTATTAATATTACTGTTATTACACTATATTTATTTAAAATGCTGTTAATTACACATTTTTTAAAAAAATAGATTTCAAATATAATTTTCATAACACAATATATAAATTTCAATTCACTACATCTATATATTAATAAACTTCGTATCCCTTTTTACGAAAATTGCGCGGACGGAGGAGTGTGAAATTTTCCACACTTATAGAGAATATATAGAAGAAGTGCACAGTGCTAATATTTTTTTAAAATAATGCGTAAAAGATACGTTAAATCAATAAAGAAAACATTACACACACTACATACCATGTATTTGACGCACGCACGCATGCATACTATTTATTGTTAAACTTTTGTTCTTGGCGTCTGTTGTCAAATTGAGAATATATTAAATATTGTTTGCCTTTGTTAATATTTTTTATAGTGTAGTGTAGTCTTGGGGGGTGGTGGTGCGCTATGGCTCCGGTGCGCCCCTCACGAGTCGTGGAGATGAGAGGGGGAAGAAGTCCCCGGTGGCTGATCCCACCCAACGTAACATTGGGGTGGGAGCCGGCGAAGGTGGGCCCATGGCGTGCACATGACGGTACCTGGGTCCTCGCCCAGCCGGAATGGAGGAGCTCGTTGGGGTTTAGTCTGTAGTCGTTAAGCTGGGCGGGTTTGGCGAGAGCCGAACTTAGCCCAGCGCGCCTTTCTAAAGGCGTAGTCTCCTATGACTAATTGGGAGAAGGCGCGGACCTCGGTTCGCGACGAGTGAGAAACCTCCTCACAATATGCACCGTTCCAAGGATAACTGCTTTCTGCACCAGGCATTTCTTTCTTTATTATTATTATTTTAATCAGATAACAATAAGCCATTAATAATTCACAGACACACACATAAATCAAAATTAAATTACAATACGAACATGTAGAAAACAAAATGAAATAAACAAAGAATAACAATAAACATGGAGTTCTTATCAAATAAGATTATCATATTATGAAAACGTTAAAAATGTCAAATATAAAAATTATTAATGTAAAAATTGTCATCAGAAATTTCCTAGATCCATCTCTGTGGAAACCTTTAGACTTCGGCAAGATGGTTACGTAACATATTTCATGTTGTAACACTAATTACGTAATGTAGCTAGCTAGCTGGCTGTTTTTTTTTTATTATTATTTCAACGCTCACCTGGAAGAGATCGTAGTTGACGATAACACAGCCTTTTGTATTGTGCTTTAGTTTTCGTCAATCAAAGAATATTGTTGCAATGTGCAGCTTAAATCGGGCGTCCGGTTGTATATTTCACGAAACGTGGACTGATCCGATAGCTTGGTGTGAGTTTTTAACGTTCTCGATAGCGTAAACGTTAACTCAAATTTGTATGCAGTTGGAACAGCGCCCCTAGCGGCAAACGTAGGCAAACGTTCAACTCCATACAAATATTAGTTAACTTTTACGCTATCGAGAACGTTAACAAACTCGCAATAAGCACACTGATCACGATTCCAATGAACTGCCCCCTGTAGGTAGACACCGGACGCAGCCAGGAGACAGGACTGGCACCAGATAATAAGAGTCACCACAATTATGACCTATCGAGAAATTTGCTGACGTAGAAGAAGATTGTTCACACAAAATACCATTGACGAGAACAAGATCGCGACTTTAAAAACTGTATATCACTTTGTTGGTCTAACGAAGGCATTTCCTCACTATTGAACTGTGTGGAACAATCACTACTGGTGGCAGAGCGTATTGTAAGTTCGGTACTACTTACTATCCAGCCTATTTCTGCCACGTCATACGGCTCTGTATAAAGTGTGGGATCGTCGAAGAATATAATTAGCATTTCGTCTTCACGTCACGTTGTGATGCCTATTGACCCAACTAACCAATCCACGGCAGGTGAGCTTTGAGGGTTTTTATTCCTCCAGAGCAAGCTGTACAGGCTGGAAATAAAACGAAAAAACATATGACGTAAATTGGCGCGCCATATGAACTAAATGTGATCAGTTTTCAAGGAATAAAAGTCAATGTGTTTTTTAATGGTTTTATGGTTTTACTGGTCGATATTTGAATTTAACTTCGATCCAGTGTCTACAAAATCTCACAGGATCACCCGCTAAGCCAATCGGAAGATTTCCTGAAAATTTCATCGACATCTGTCCAGCTGATTTGGAGTTCATAGTGAACACATGTGTATGTGGCACGCATAGACTTAAGTATGCATATAAAGCTATATATAGGTATACTTGTGGTAGACACTTTTAATTAATTTAATTATTAATTAAATACGCTCTCCACACAAATTGGAGATGCCGTGGTTTGATTCTTATCGGCCCAGACCTAGAGTAATAATTTTACTATTGTCGACATTTTAAGTAGAGCTCTTGTCCCAGCTACTCCTTCCACCCACCATCCATATAGATAAGTACTATTCTAAATTGTCTTCAATCTTGTATTACATATATTAAGAAACTTCTCTGCGATGAGACCAGGAATTCTCCAAGCACCTTTCTCCTCAAATACGTCTAATACAACGAAGAGTTCGACGTGCAACCTAACCAACATAACCGACTGAGTTTCTAGCCGAATCTTCTATATGGATCGCTATTTCAATCCGATGGTAGAGACAGCGAAGAACTGCTCTATGCAGGGTGGCTGGCAAAAGCTGGACTAGAGAAGCCTAGGATCGTGTTCAGTGGCGTGTAATTGGAGAGGCCCATCTCAAGCAATGGACTGTTATATGGGTTGACGATGATGATGATAATGACTGCTCTTGTTAGGGCCACTGTTAGCAAATTCCCTCAAGCTGAGCCCCTGAGTTTACCAACTTAAAAAAAGTTCAAAAATACGCTTTTATAGAAAATTCAACTAAAAAATAGAAAATAAATTTTAATAAATTTGAATTAAAAATAGTGTAAGAAAAAATGATTTTAATGTAAAAAAAGCGTTTTTGAAACTATTATTTATTTTTCATTTTTTAGTTGAATGTCAATATTTTCAATTTTTTTCTGTCCTTAATCAGTATGCCAAATTTCGAGTTAATCCGACGTTTAGAAGGGGGTCAAAATCATGTTCAAAGATTCCGTTGCATACTATCATACAGTTTTTAAGCTAATAAAATACTTTAAGCTAATAAAAGCATATTAAAAACCGGCAATATCTACTCGGCAGAAATAACAACCAGTGCGGGCTTCAAGTAATCCACCATCAATAAAACTTTAACCTCATCTCTATGTAAGATCTAATCTGTAGTTTATAGAGCCATAGATCTTTAACCGAAATTCATCTCAAGGATCACATCAATCTAGGGCCGCCATGATATTACGGAGTTCATGTGAAATCCTTTTTAAGGTTAGTAACAATAAGAAGTTTCTTGTTGCTATGGGAATATCTTCAACACGAACTAACGCAATACAAGGGAAGCTACTACAACTATATTTTTTGTTTCCCAACAAGACGAGGAATCAACTTTTTTATTTTCCCCAACTATTTTCGACTTAATTATAGCGATAAATAAATTTTAAGTTGATTTTAATAATTTTAAAATGAATATTTGTTAGTTCAGAATAGATAATTAAATATGGATTAAAATTAGTTGGTTCAAAATTAATATGGATTGTAAGGCTCCATAGAATCGTGCAGGAGTCGTTGGAGTACGTCGCGGCAGTTACTTTCTCTGTGCGAATCCCACCACTGCAAAAGCAGGCTGAGTTTTAGGGATCAACATTGTTTTATTATGAAAACTAAAAACCCTATTTTTATGGGTAAATTAAACCACGCAGCTAAAATTAAATGTTCATATCGACGCTTGAAAGGCAAACGTGACTAAGCGACTAAGCGACTGAAAACAAAACTTATATACCTGAAAAAAAAATTTATTTTAACGAACCTAGCTGTAGTAAAATCTAGCTAGTAGCGGTAGAATTGAAATAATTTTAATAGACCTAGAAATAATATTTTTTGCGCATCGAATATGGTTATTGCCTATCATTTATGTACAAAGCAGTTGTTGTCGCTTAGTCACTTTTGCCTTTCAAGCGTCGATATGCATTTCTTTAGTATAACACTAAAGTTTAGACTTTAAAACTGATTTTTAGATAATAAATCTAGTACAGTACCAAAATATTTCTTGTAGTGTTGACCGTGATATCCCCCTTACCTCATGCGGGTTCTGAATTCGGAGGGGATCAGAGCGAAGAGTGCAGGGGAGTCGTTTTGTGGGTAGGGTCCTCAAAACATCTTTGGGTCTGCGGTTTCGCAGTCGCGGACCACTCCCACATACCCCGCGCGCCCCCTAGGCGTGGGGACCTCATGGGAGGTTCGGCCCACGATCCGAAAAAAAAGACAGGGTTTTGAGCTACTGAATCTGCTTCTCAATTCTAATGCTCTATTTAATCGAATGCCCGCTATGTCTATCTAGAGCCAAAGATTGTCATAGACATCACAACCTCACCTTGAGAGGTCGAAATCTCAATTATACTCATATTATATATATCTCAATAATATTTAACGTCCGTCTGGTGTAGTGGTAAGTGACATGGTCACTACACTAGGGGGTCGCGGGTTCGAATCCCGCCAAGGGAAGATATTTGTATGATAAATATTAATGTATTTTCCAGGGTTATGGATGTATATTAAATATATGTGTATAATAAAAATATATGTATAATAAAAACCTTACATTTATTTCCGTTATCTGGTACCTGTAACACAAGTTCTTTACGAACTTATCACGGGACCAGTCAACGTGGCGTGATTGTTAGTAAAATATTTATATTTCTTTATATTTATACTTTAAATTAGCACCCACAAAACTGGAATGTACGACCGACAGTGTGCGGTAAAACGCCCGTATCTGCCCGAACCGACTCCCAACACGAGTATACAAATATCGACCGTTATACCGAACCACGTGTGAATTTAAGCATCGCGCTTATCACATTGCTTCCCTAAAAGACTCGCACCACATAACGGTCTAAACACGTACCGATCTTCAGTGTGCGTTCGGCGCGCGGGTGCGTGGTCATTAAACTTGTGGATTCTTTCGATAACACTACAAAATCGTTCGCACATAAAGTTTGTGAGTGAACAATAACGAATAAGATTTTATATTCGATTGTTTGCAAATAATTTTGAACAATGGCCGCGTGTGTTTTGTTTTTATTTCGCTTGTTCAATCCTCGTGACGGTCGGTGACTTAAGTTAATCCACGAATTTAATTTGGAATTTAGCAACTAATAGGTACCGGTTTTAATTTTTAATTGAATTATTTAAATGAATTTAAGCTAACGATTTCATTGTTCGTTTGTAAATTTAATCACATTAATAATAGATTAATTGAATAAAGCGGTGAACTAATGTAATTTTATTTCGATTTTGTAGACTTTTGTAGAAGATTTTTTTATTTATTGAACACGTGTCATAATCTTTAAATTAATACGTGAAGCAAAAACTTTGTATCCCTTTTTACGAAAATTGCGCGGACGGAGAAGTATGACATTTTCCACACTTATAGAGAATATAGAGAAGAAGTGCACAATTATATATTTTTTTAAATAATGCATAAAAGATACATTAAATCAATAAAGAGAACATTACACACACTATATACCATGTATTTGACGCACACACGCATGCATACTATTTATTGTCAAACTTTTGTTCTTGACGTCTGTTGTCAAATTGAGAATAAATATTGTTTGTCTTTGTTAATATTTTTATAGTATAGTCTTGGCGAAAATTTGTGATTATAGAAGTATAAAATACAATCACAATAGTGTGTGTACAAACTTACAATTCCAATTAATTATAGTCGAATTTCGACTACTGCGGGACCTCTAGTTTTTTTAAATGTCTCTTGCTTATAACCTTTCGTATCTAACACTCATTAGAAAAATGTTGCCCTCATATTCCTACAAACAATCCAAATTTCTAATTTTATAAAACTCTACTTTATTGAAAAACTGACGATGAAATACAAAATGTAATATAATTCAAACCAGTTCTAGGTTTTGTTATCGCATTCACGATTTTTAATTAGACCGCAAAAACTTTAAAGTATCGTTAACTTACGAGTTACGGAAATCTAAAAAAATATTACCTATACTTTATTATTCAATGTTCTTTTTCAGTCTTTTGTTTTTCTATTTTACGCATACGAGCAGACAGACCCATCTGTTTTTAAACGGTTACCGGATCTTGTATACGCAACGTGAATGTGTCGGCGTGAGAGAAAATAATAACTTATGAAACCTGTCAGTCAGTTTTGAAGAATATATCGAGGGGCGAAAGCATATTTGGTTTGAGCGATATTTTTTTAACTCTACAGGAGAGCCATTTAAAGTCTGAAAATTCGTAAAAAGAATATCACAACAAGAAGAGCTTTTTCAGCTATTTAAATGGGGCAAAATTAATTGAAGTTTCGGTTTGAAGGGTGGGGCAGCCATTGTAACTACACTGAGATGTAGATGAGTTGTAGATGTCTATGGGCTCCAGTAACCACTTAACACCAGGTGGGCTGTGAGCTCGTCCGCCCATCTAAGCAATAAAATAAAATAAAGTTAAATTAAAAACATCTAATTGTTTAATGCTAATACTAAATATAACGGACCTTGAATTACAAGGATAAATGTAGCGTAGTAAGCTTAAACCAAATTAACTTAGACCTTGCACCCCGCGACATGTAATTTAAAAACAAAAAAAAAACATATTTAGTTTGCAAATCGAACTAACATTTAATTTCGTCTCATTCTTTTCCTGTTGATGATGGTTAGCATATTGAAGCGAAAGCGAATGGTTAGGATGGCTTTAGGTATCTCAAGCACCGGTCACCGTCCTCGTCGAACCCGTCGCTTGCAACGAAGGGCTCGACGAGTAAATTAACCCATAGAGACAGCCCACTGAGTTTCTCGCCGGATCTTCTCAGTGGGTCGCGTTTCCGATCCGGTGTTAGATTCTGCAAAGCACTGCTGTCGCTAGGGCCAGTGTTAGCAGGTTTGAGCCCCGAGACCTACGCGCTAGGGTAACCCTGATATAGCCTATAGTATAAGTAGGAAAAAAAAGAAGCGAAATTATCATTTCTTAGTTTAGAATCAGTCCTAGATGCGTGTGCAAATTGTTGTGTTAATCGGACGTCGAGACGTCAATAAAAATTATATTCAAATATATTATTTAAATACAAACGTACGTATAATGGTACTTACTTGCATGCATACAAACTGAGCTAATAAAAATAGTGCTAAAGACAAGGGTTCCGCAGATAAGATGCACGTTCACCCTTAAATTCCAAGAGGACCAATAAAAAGTATAATTTGTAATTACAATAACGTAATTCGTAATTATTAACGTAATTTGTAATTACAAACATCAAGTACCGAATACGCATTCTGAATCTAATATCTCAAAGAAACATCTAAAGCGATATTCATTGATACATTCTTTGAGAGTGAGAGAGAGAGAGAGAGAGAGACAGTATTCTTTATTATACACCAACAAAATAAACAATGCGAAACATTAAATACAAAAAAAAGTATAATTGACGGTCTTACAGCTTAATGCGATCTCTCCTAGACAACCATCAGGTGGAAAAGATTCGTTTGGAAACTAATTGCACATTCTTAACATTCTTTGAAATTCTGCAAGACCAAAATTTGTTTTTAAGATTGACAGGTTTTTTTTTCTTTTTTGATGATTTATTTATTACTGGTGGCCCGGAGGCCTTTCCAGTTTCACCAGGACAGGTGGGCGAGCAAAGGCTCAGCTAGGAGGGGTGGGGTTTGCTAACAGCTATCCGATTGGCTCCAAAGAAGACCTACCAACTCAAGAGCAGTTGCTTCGCGATTGAATCTACAACCAGATCATAATCGCGACCCGGTGAAAAGACCTGGCCAGAAGCTCAGCGAGCTGATGCATGGGTTAGGTTGCACGTCGACCTCTTTGCCGAGTTCGACGAGTACGGTTACCGGGGTCCCTAAGCCTGCTTGCTCCTAGTGTTAGAGCTGAAGGCGTCTAATGCAAGGGTTATTGGATCTGATGGAATCCGTAATCCGTGTCTAGACGTCTAGACGTGTCTGGGGTTGACGGGAACACGAATAGTTGGTATGGACTTTAAGCTTTCATGAACAATTTGAATGTCAATTAAAGGTCCGCTTTATTTGGTATTAGTATCAGCAATTCGATGTTTTTAACTGAACTTCAATTAAGTTTACCCCATTGAAATAACTGAAGAAGTTTTTTTTGTTAAGATATTTTTAGATAGAAACTTTAGATAAGTCTCGTATAAAATTGCAAAAATGTCGCTAAACAAAATATTTTTACCCCTCGATATATTTTTGTAGTGTGTGTAGTGTAGTGTAATATTTCTAGTATGTCTTAATTTTATTTTTATTTTCTGGTAGGTAGTGGCTTTGGTGATGTCCTTAGGCAACGATAGCCACTCACGACTGTATGTACAGACTAACATGACATTTGAAATCAATATCTAGATCAGGACGTTTAAATATCTCGCTGCCCTAGAAAACGCGGAAGAAATTCTAAGAGTTGTTTGACCAGTTCCAACTCAGTGTCAATCTTTGCAGAGAATTTTATAGCCAACGAAAATCATTAATGAATAAAATATTCAAATCTAATATAATTCGAAAAATGTATACGCTAATTAAATTGAAAATAATCGTCACATTAATTATGAATAGTTTTACGTATTAATCTCGTGTTTATTATTTTCATTTTATTTATTTATAAGGTTCCATAGAGAGTAGTAGTAGTAGTAGTAGTTTTCCAACTGGAAAGGCAAAGGTGTCATACCATACAGACTAATCTTTTATATACATTTTATTTTTTTTACATGAAAAATTTTGATATGAAGTGAAATGAAATGAAATTGATTAACATGAAATATGGCATGAAATGAAATGAAATGAGATGAGTTGATAAGGGATGAAATATAGGTAATCTCAGTACAATGGTGGTCATTTACCGAGACTTTTTCAGTGGACTTTTTGGAGGATCCCGAGAAGTTGCGTCCAGCGGCTTTGTTTTATTTTCCCACATTTGGACACTTTCACAGATATTACGCATTTAAACCTGAAGAAACACTAAATGGACAAAATAAAACAAATCACACAACTTCACTCCTCGCATTCCCGCCAAAAAGTCGATTCCATAGACATTGTAACTATACTTGAGACCTTAGAACTTGTATCTCAAGGTGGGTGGCGCATTTACGTTCTGGATGTCTATGGGCTCCAGTAACCACTTAACACCAGGTGGGCTGTGAACTCGTTCGCCCATCTAAGCAATAAAAAAAAATTACAAAATAAAATGTGCTATCGGGAAGCAGGTCAAGAATGTGTCAACTGTCAAATGTGTCAACTTTTGCTGGTGGTGGAACGTTGATACCACCACCCTACCAGTTTCTACCTTGAAGCAGTAATGCGTTTCGGTTTGAATGGTGGAGCAGCCGTTATAACTATACTTGAGACCTTAGAACTTATATCTCACGGTGGATGGCGCGTTTACGTTGTAGATGTCTATGGGCTCCAGTAACCACTTAACACCAGGAGGGCTGTGAGCTCGTCCACCCATCCAAGCAATTAATCACGTTAGAATTACCGTGCTGTTAGTAGAGGGTTACTTGTATACTAGTTTCATTACGACGAATATTTATGTATATGTATTTATTTAAGTACAATGTATTATGTATGTTATATATACACATAATATATGTTTAAGTAATATCCCCTTCACACTATACCTACCAAGCTTCATCTCTGCACTCCCCTAAGGTAGACTGTTAGAGAATGCCTATGGCATTAAGTCCGCCTTTATACTTTCTAGTATAAGAAGTTATAAATAAATAAAATATTCCTAAAATCATCTGTTTTTAAACTCAAATCTCCGTCCTATAATTACTGTTTGATTTATAAACACAAATTAAAAACGTCTGTGAAGATCTATTTGATCTATACATATGAATAAAATTGGAGTGTCTGTTTTTGTTATATTGAAATAACCGCTTTTTACTATGTGCATGTAACCTCTACATGATTTATGAGATAAATCTTAAAAGAGGTTAATATGTTATAAAGGTGACATAAATGGTAAATTGAATATTGAAACATTAGAAGAAGGAACATTAGAAATATTAAAAACACTTTTGAATATTGAAATATAAAAAACATAAAAACTGGTGAAGCAATAGCTTTAAATGTTGTTTCTCTTTATAGAGCAACTCAGTTTGTGCT